GTTGACAGCTAACAAACGGCTAAAGTCTCATGCTACAGGGGCAGGACCACTGCTTCTAACCGGCTCAAAACACTGATCTTCTAGTGTTTATATGAAAACGCGTGATGCTAAAGGGGTGTGCTGAATGTTATCGTGTTTATCCCAGACTGAAAAGCCATCAAAAAACATTTATTTTGGCTTTTCTGCTACGATTTACGCAGCATTAGCAATCTTGCTAATGCCAGCTATGCTAATGCTAACGGTTGATTATCCGGGACCTTTTCTGACTGAGCGTCGCTCTTTGTCCAGCATATCTAATAAATAGTGGTGGGTATTTTTATTCAGTGACCGTCCCCGTGTATCTAAGGTATTGTGGGACTGATCTCTACATGCACGATAAATTACACATCGTTTTCTGACCTAAATCATCGGTACAAACCTGCTCAAGGGACGATGGAGAATGTAGCTGGGGAAGCTACAGGAAGTGACGACATTCTACTTCCGTATTGATTTTACAGGGAAATTTTCAAATAAAGTGAGAGTCACGATTTTTATAGTGTGATGCTTTAAATCTAGCTACATGTAAAATAACCTTGAAATATTGTTATTCAATAGAAATAAAATAATACAAATAAATCACCATACTGCAACTAGCCTCCGGCCTCGGGGGGGCAGTACTGCAGCATCCTGCACCAACAAGCTGTGTCGAGGGAGCAGAATGTAAACAGGCGCTGGCTAAGTGACACTAGCATCATCGGCAGCTAACTGCGGTACAGGCGCCGCTGATTCACAGTAATGGCATCACGATAGATGCACTGAACGGAAATGGCGCTTGTGATCTGATTTCTCATCCGGCATCTTCCTTTCTTGTCGTTTTTTAACGCGCACACGGTGAGTAGCTTCCTGAAGGGTCAGTGAACCCGCTGCTGTTACATGGCCGAGCTGAAGACACCGCGCTAGCTCACTGTCACAAGGGCACAACTGTTGTATGCGGATGCGTGTTTAATTAGACAATCACAGCAATGTCCTGACAACTTGAATTCAACTCAAACAAAACATCGTGCCTGTCACGAGAGAGCTCGGTAGTTCCTGTCTCAAGTCCCCCAGCACCGCCACAGAGAAGGACACGTGACTGACAGTGTGTTGTTGTGGTTTTAGATTGATAAGCTGTCACCATGACTAAAGACATTGTTGTTGGAGATGAGCTACCAGACTGGGTGGGGGCGAAGGAGTTCTATCAGAAGTATGACCCCAAAGAAGTGATCGGCAGGTGAGTCCATCAAATCACAAACTTTATGTATAAAGCGCCTCACATACAAGTGAGTGATGAGCTAAGAACACACCAAACAAATAATATTAACAGACGGATAAAATAGAATACAATTTAAAACAAAGTTGCAATGATGTAATGTCCAAAAAACACACTTAATCAAATGCTAAGCTAAAAATAAAATAAATACAAAATGTCCACTTCCGGCTACTCTCAGGTTCTCTGAGTGTCCAGCAGCTTGGAGCGTAAACGCTGTAAGATTCCTCACATAAGGTTTTACACTTTAGAGCAGCTAACTGATTATATATGACATATGTGACATGTGCTGATGCAAGACCACAAAGTGTTTTAAAAACAATTAAAATAATCTAACAATCATCACTGCAACCAGTGTAAGATCTGTGATGTGACTGATGAGGCGGCAGAATTAGCCGTAGCTGATTTATAACACTTTGGATCGACCAGAAAATAGAGCACTTCATTAGACAAGCCTGCTGGAAATAAGAGCATGCATCCGTTTTTCTATGTCATTTAGAGAGAGAGAAAAAAAGGTTGCACTTTTGTAATGTTTTTGTTTAAGAAAACTTAATTTTTTCTGTTGGAAAAATCAAATGTGTCATCTATGTGTTCTATGTCGATTGTGACTCAGGGGTGTGAGCAGTGTGGTGCGCAGGTGTGTGCACAGACACACGACCCAGGAGCTGGCAGTGAAGATTATTGAGATCACGGCAGAGAAGATGACGGCCCAGCAGCTGGAGGAGGTGAAAACCTCCACACTGAAGGAGATCCAAGTCCTCAACATGGTGAAGGGACACTCGTCCATCAGTATGTTGGAATTCTGCTCTTTTGAACCCGCAGCACACTTAACATGCTCTTCTCCTGAATGTTTGATGGTGTTGAAACTATGTTATGTGTCTCTGGTTCTCTTTAGTTACCCTCATTGATTCCTATGAGTCCACAACCTTCATATTTTTGGTGTTTGACCTGTGAGTATGAAATGAAATAGTGAACATTAGCTTTTGTTATTCCTCGCTAAAATATAGATTTTAACATCCATGAAATCATTCTCAGATCTTTGGATCCTTGTTTTCCTTTTCAGCATGAGACGAGGAGAGCTGTTTGACTACCTCACAGAAAAAGTTACTCTGAGCGAGAAGGAAACCAGGTGAGCTCCAACATGACACAACACACTGCGTCAGCTAATTGAATCTGTCATTATTTTCTTGTGCTTTACTGTCGTTCCTGCTGAGTATTTTACAGTCTGATGGGGGTTTTCCTTCATTTTAAGGTGTTGTTACTTTCTTGAAGTGTAAAAATCTATGTTTGAGGTTTTCAGTCATGTTACAAGCATGATTTGAAAGACATGGACGCCAGAGATCAAAACCCCAGTAACTTCTTGCATCTGAAAGTTTGCCACTTAATAGCCAGGTCTCAAGTCTCATGTCAGAGATAACACCAGGCAGTTCACTTTCACTTGTACTGCAAAACACTTGCCTAACTTTGACCAAAAAAAACCAACGGGAAAATGAACTGAAACTGGTGGCTCGCTAGAATGAAGAACACATGATTTCAAATCTACTTAGTGGCATGCTTTAAAAATGTGGTCAGTTGTAATGTAAAACATTTCTGCAAAACCTGTTGGTCTGTCTTAACTGTAGGAGTATGATGCGAGCTCTGCTGGAAGCAGTGCAGTACCTCCACTCCCTCAACATCGTCCATCGGGATCTGAAACCTGAGAACATTCTCCTGGATGATCAGGGACACATCAAACTGTCCGACTTTGGATTCTCAGTGCAGCTACAGCCTGGAGAGAAACTTCGAGGTAATACTCTGTGACTGTAGATCACTGTGAGAACAGTTATATGGTCAGTTATGTGAATCATATAGTTGTAATTTTGCACGGACAGAGACAAAATCATGTTTTATTGACTGTTCTTCTAATTAGAGCTTTGTGGGACGCCTGGTTATTTGGCCCCTGAAATACTCAAATGTTCCATGGATGAAATGCACCCGGGTTATGGCCAGGAGGTCGATCTGTGAGTCTTTTCTTTTGTCAATGACGCAACATCAATCTATGTAAAATAACGAAGCATGACGCTGGGTGTTGACCATATCTAATTCCTGCTCACTTGTGTGTGTTGGTAAGCTGGGCTTGTGGCGTGATTCTGTTCACTTTATTGGCCGGCTCACCGCCATTCTGGCACCGCAAACAGATGCTGATGCTGAGGATGATCATGGAGGGTCGCTACAAGTTCAGCTCCCCAGAATGGGACGACAGGTCGGACACTGTGAAAGATCTGGTAAGCGGATGTTGGGTTTAAATAAATAATAAATCCCTTCAGCAAAACCAGAATGTGTGAGATTATGCAATTCAGCTATATTTGTCCTAATTTTCAAATGCTGTCGGTATTTTTGTGCTACAACACTATATATTCTGTATTGGGGGTAAAATCAGTTGTGTTTATCTTTGCTCGTGATGCTCAGATATCCAGGCTGCTGGTGTTGGACCCAGCTGTCCGTCTCACTGCTGAACAAGCGTTAGCTCATCCCTTCTTCAGACTGTACCAGAAGGAGGATGTGCGACACTTCAGCCCCAGAAAGACATTTAGGGTGAGTCACAGTGCTCACCTGACTCACATTTACATAATTTTAAATTAAAAGCCTTGAAAGACAGATGTCTGTTCAGAAATATGAGGAGAAACCGAATAAGCTTGACTTTCTCATCTGTTTGTCTTTCCTTCCTCCTCAGGTGTTGATAGTCAGCGTGCTGGCTTGTATCAGGATGTACAGCCGTTACCGCAAAGCTCGCCCATTGACCCGGGAGGTGCTCGCCAGAGATCCTTACTCCCTCCGTGGCGTGCGCAAACTCATTGATGGCTGCGCGTTCCGTATCTACGGCCACTGGGTGAAGAAAGGGGAGCAGCAGAACAGAGCCGCCCTCTTTCAGAACACAGCTAAGATCATGCTGCTGGGCCTGGAGGACTTTGAAACATGAAAGGTCCATGTCCTTCCTAACCAACTTGATTTATATTCAACCGTTTGCATGTGCTATGATGTCTTTTTTTACTTACTTTAGTTTACCATGTTTAATTTTATGATGAGAAATTCAGGGACCGGGACATTTGTTTGCCTTAATGCGCACAATGGGTTTGAATTGATTAGCATGCACGCCCTAATACTCCTTATCTGCCTCTGATCTGTGTGTGTGGCTGTCTGAAACTCTTCTTCAGGTCATAGTGTTGGCAATCACTAGATAAAACCCATCACATACTATATGCTATAGGTACAAAATATATTTATATTTAGAATTTTACCTGTTGATCGTCAGTTATAACTGAAGACAGGATGCATTTTAAGCACTGTGTGGCTGAGATGGACTAAATGCACTGTGTTAGTTATTTAGTAGATGATTATATTAACATATTGAAACAGATTTACATATAATCCAGTGTTATGTGGACATGGGTGAAACATTTAAGTACAATACCTGAAGTGTTTTTTGGTAGAGCCTCATTTACTCATAATGCATGCAGACATTCCTCGATAGGGAATCCACTTACACTAACTGTGAAGACCGTTTGTGACCGTTTTTCCTTCTAAAACACCATTCCCTACTTATTTCATTTACCAGTGTGATTAGTGGCACTTTCCCTGAAAATGCCTGCCTGAGAAATGTACATTTATTGTACAAATGCAAAAAATACGTTGTACTGTAAAGAAAGATAAAGAAAGATAAACAAATGACAGTCAGAACTATGTGGTTTTGTATGAGTGCTTCATTTAAATCAACATTCTGGCTGTCCCTTTTATCATCTGTTATTTTTTGGTCTTGTGGTTGGGGTGTGGAGAATCTAATGTGTTGTGCTGCTGATCTGCAATTTCCTTCATTCTCTTGTCAAGTTGTACTGACACACGCATCATCTGCTCTCTGACTTCTGTCTCGATCATTGCCTTCAGTTCTGATGTGGGACCTGAGTGAGGAAAGGAAGCAGTTTGAAAACACATAAACATGTTTCACTATAAAAAGTTATTGCTGCACTGTTGCTCTCAGTCCTGCTATCATTTGGAATCCTACCGAGCATGCTTTCCTCTGGCTCTGTGAGGGACGTGTCCTGTGTGTCAGTGGAATCCTCTTTCTTCAGTGAAGCTTCTGCTCCTTCTTTCATCACAAAAAAAACATTTAAAAAAGTTAGTTAGTTAAAAGTTAATAAATCTGGTCACCTTTGAAATGTATTTTATTCTCTGTGTGAAAAAACATGCAAAGAAAGATTGATTTGTGGGTCTTCGAAAATGAAGGCATTTATTTAATTAGGTATTTAATTTTTTACCTTGCTGCATTGTCATAATGTCATTATGATTTTGTTAAGATAAGACGGTACTTTATTAATGCTTGTTTAGGACATTCTTGTGCCAGATCTGGTCCCAGATTTACAATAACAAAAAAACAATACAATGGAATAAAAAAATAATGTAAAAATATTGGTATAAGTGTAATGAGAAGTAAGAGAGGACCAGTATTACACATGATAATGAACAGAATAAAAGTAATACTGCACATAAAGCCTGTGGTATTGGACAGGTTAAGCAGTATTATTGCACATGTTGGAAGTTAATATTGTATGTGGTACTGGTGAAAACTGTAAATTGTAATTATGAAACTACTTTCAAAACATTTCTTTTTTACTCTTTTCACTCTCAGCCTGTTTGTGTCATTTTGAAGAAGCACTTTGTTTCAGGTAGAACGAAAAGGAGATTACAAACTTTTTCCTCACCACCTGAGAACTTTGATGGTACAAAAAATTTGAATCATTACCTGTAGCTAAAGAATCCTCATCAGAGTAAGTCAGTGACAAATCAAGTTTAACCTGAAGAAAACAAACACATGATTCCAACACTGGCATATCTCAACCAGTTGTAAACAATATGTGTTGAATAACAAATCTTTGTACTCTTGCCTGTGGGGTAAAGATATATTTATAAAGTTTGTAGTGTCTCATGTAGCTGTTGTAGATGTACTTCAGGATAAAGTCAGCCTCCTTAGAGCCGAAGAGGTTGATACTGAAGGGGGGTCGCTGGAAGCGTGCAGAGACAGAGATGCGAAGATATAAAGCAATAACTTTACTATCATCAAATCTGTGGGTGTTGAGATGAAAGTGGAACAAAGTGGAACATTTACTCACCCTGACAGAGTGGCAGAGCAGAAGCTCTTTGCAGTAACTGAAACACTGTTCTATGTTGTTGAGTGGTGTTTCTGAAAGAAAGGTTTTTCAAACACAAGTTAAAAAGAGCATTTTCATGAATTACCTGAACAAATAGAACTAATACTAACCCAGCAGCAGAGGTTGAAGTCAGAGACCAGAAGTCAGACTTATACATTTTAAATTGGAGGCTTTTTGTTGTTTACCATTTTAAATGGTAGATGAGATTTTTGATCTGATATACATTTACAATCTTTACACGACATGGATGACAGGAAAAGATAAGATGACCTGTGCTCACCACCACCAAAATATTGTTTTTGTACTCAAAGTGTTGACAGTGCATGATTCAATGTTAGATAATGTGTGACCCGACTAACAGTCATAAATCTAACACTTGGCTCATTTTCACATCTGATGTCGGGATGTGTTGAGAGAATTAAATCCAAACACTTCTATTTCAGAGACTTGACCTGGAAATGTACTAATACTCAATATAGACCACAGTTCATCCTCCCATCTCTACTACTGCAGAGTGGTGATAATAATCTGATGTTATTACCTATGTTAGCCTCGTGGACGGACTTGATGATGGACAGAACAGCAGAAGTTTGTTCCTTATTGAAGCTGCACTTCCTGCAAAAGAGCACAGTCTGCACATACAGCTCCAGCACAACTCCTCTTTTAGGTTCAGCGAGGTCAACTCCAAACACTCTGCATAAAACTCTGAGAGGGAGAAGAAGCGTGTCATGAAAACTAAAGTCAGACATGATGTGTTGTTCCTGGTGGGGGGCAGAAACCTTTCCAGGTCAGGAACAGACTGCGTGTTGTCGATCTCCTCCATGTCGTGGAAGCTTGCATCCGTCCTGAGAACATCAGGGAGTGGATTCATTGTGACACAACACATTGTCATGGCTAACAATCCAAATGAACATCATCAGTGCAGATGCTCACCATAGCATCAGCTTAGCTTTGAGGGCCTGTGGGAGCTAGAAAATAAAAAGACACTCATCTTATATGCGAAACATTACAAGGCAATACTTTGAAAAACAGTTGAATCCAATAAAGATAGAATATGTGTAAGTTTACCTTTATTGTCGCGTCCATTTTTTCTGATGCGGGATTACGAGATAAAAACGAGCAAACTGCAGAAAAAAGCAGAAGTTCTGTTACAAATAAACTCACAAATAACAAAATATACTTTCTACTTGAAAACGATGACGCGACCAATTGTCCTTTTCTACCGCGAAAAAGTATTTATAAGTTTTAACTTCACATCGAGCAAAAAGGTTTCAGGACAGCTGAGCCATTTCCGGTTTAACCAGTATCCTAGCAACGTTAGCCACGCACTTTTTCTAAATCTTTATTAATCACGAGCGAGATTACAACAACAACCATGTACACGAGTGAGTACAAAACAGAGAGAAGATTTTAATGCAAGTAAAATAAAATAAACAGTATTTATTAGCATATGCTATTAAGCTGTTTACTTTTAATGGCTCTTTGTTTCATTGCATATCGAATCAAATCAATGTTCCTGCTGAATGAAGCAAAGCATTTCATTTTACATTCGTGAACAGGTATGAATCTGTCATTTCTCCATATCATAGAAATAATAATAACTTGTAATTGTATATCACTAAACAAGGTTACAAGGTGGTACAAAAAAATCCATGGCAGAAAAGTGTATGAACCAAAATAATAGGTATTCAGTTCAGTTCAATTTAAAATGCCAAATCGTAACATAGTAAGGTCAAGACCATAACATTTATAGAGGAACCCAACAGTTCCCACAACGAGCAGGCGCTGTGACGACTGTGGAGAGAAAAAACTCCCTTTATTCAAAACAACTTAATTGAAGTGTACAAAGATTAAACATGAGTGTGATGATATGAATTTAGAATAATGTGTAAGAAAACAGAAGTGAAACACACTGAGGGGAACGAGGAGTTCCTCTGTTAAGTCACAGTTTCTTCTTCTTCATTAATTTCAGTGGATAAGAGATCATGACACAAATATATGGGAATCAGTTTATGAATCTGTTCGTATGCAAAAAGAATATCCAATGATAACATTAAATATCTTCAGAATACAGATCTACGGTCTGCTCTAAAAATGGTTGTCATAACAGCAGATGGTCACTGTATCCATAGCAACGAGATGAAGCTGTTTGGTGGCCTGCTATTAGCTAACGGAGCTGTCGGTGATTTTAAAGGCTCTCTAGGGGACATGTTGTGTGACCACTGACACACACAGGACAACTCTCTGGAGCTTTGTGGAAATGTGCTGCCACTGTGGAGTCCCTGTTTGACCGCCTGTGCCCCGGGTAAGTACCACAAACTGGCTGCTGACAGAAAGATGCAGCGGGCAGAAACACACAGCACTGGCTCTTTGCTCCTTTTTCTCACGTTTCATCTGAGTGCACCAAGGCCTCAGCATCTCCACACTGCAGCCACGGGGAGGCTGAGACGACAGACCGAGCTGTTCGCTGCAGTTTAAGAACTTTATCCCCTTTTAATCCACTTTGCCTTCTGCCACATGCAGGTGAGCAGAGTGTCAGTGTCTGCCACTGTCAAACTGCTGCCATTTAATTAGTCTGTTTGCTTTTTTTTCTTGTAGACACTGAACTTTGATGCTGGATTTCATCTGTTGTTATTTTATATATATATATATATTAATATTCTTGATTGCTTATTGATAACTCTGATTATCTTTGCTCAGACATGGAGGAGCCGGATATACGACAACAGAAGCTGGACAACCAGGTAAAGAAACAACAAACTCTGATGTGGTTTACGTATAATAGCACATGATGTACTTTCTTACCAGTGAATCTACATCTATGGTATTTCACCATTAATGAGATTAATCATATAGAGATTATATGTACAAGGAGACCAAGCAACACATTTCAACAGATTTTGCCAAAAGAAAGTCTTTACAGCTGAGCAGTGCCAAACAAATGTAGCCGACAACCGATTCTGCACAGTCCTTACAGAAAATAGAATTTATATAAATGCCTTGCTTGCTGTTTTATATTAAATTTGACTGAATAAAAATGTATGAATTCATTCTAAATAAATATCGGCGTGTGTTTTTGACTATTTTAAACCGGTGCAATAATTCTAATGCATTTCAAATAACTTTCAGTCATAAAGTTGATTCTTTGCAGTGTTTCTTTATCATTAGCATATATATATATGACATAATAATTATAGTCCACAGTGGAGCAAAGGCCTGGAGCTCGAGCAATTTAAAGTGGTTTAAATTGAGGTAGAGCTTTGCAAATACACAGACCTTCATTTAGTCCCAAGACATCATGGCTGCTTGTGTCAAAGCCACCTGCTGTGTAGAGCTACCATACGCCACCGTATGTCAGCTACTGGCTTACATCCTTTGGAGTGCTATATAATACCTTACACCAGAAAGCAGATAATCAGTTATGCAAGTAGTAGCGGTGGTTACTCATCCTCAATTACTATTGTGCCTAATAATAGTATTATTATTCATTAAAAGAAACAATGGCGTCCCTGCATTTAAATCTAACATTCATGATCAGATGTTTCTTTTACAGTTGTGACTATACAGTTAAATTAGCTATTTGATGTGGTTCAACCAGTTACCTCCACCAAGGAGGTTATGTTGTCATTATGTCAATTTATTGCAACAACTACTGGATGGATAACTACGAAACCTGGTGGAAGGATGTGTTATGAGTCAGGGAAGAACCCCTTAAACTGAATGTAATTTTACCTGTGTGGAGACAAGAGTTGACAGTCAAATATTCATTCTGCTGCAGAGAACCCTTCTGATCAAAAAGCAGCAAAAGAAGAGGGCCGATTCTCAAATGGTGACGACCAACTGGGACACTCGCCAAAAGAACCGAAAGCACAAAGCCGCCCAATCTGATGAAACACCTCTGTTGATCAGCCAATCCCTGAGCAACGCTTCCCTGAGTGGTATTAGAATAATTCATCATTTGCAACGCAGGCATTTTTATAAATTACCGCTTAGCAATGTTCTTAAATAGTATTAAAGTGTTTCTTCTTTGTTTCTTTTCATCCTGGAGATCAAGTCGAGCATGCCCATGATAACCCAATGGATGTGATCATGTTGGGTGAATGTGAGACGTTAGAGGAAACGCCTTCGGAGATGCCGGCTACTCCCCAAAAAATGACCTTGGAAACTGACAAAGAGTCTGAGGTGAAGTGTGAGGTGGAGAACGATGCCCAGGTGGAGGGGAAAAAGACAAAGAAGAAAGATGTGAAAAAGGAAAAAGCGAAACAAAAGACAGGTACGTGTAAACTTTGGCGCTTAGATGGTCTGGAAATCTGTAAGTGTGTGTAAGTTCTGTTTTTTTTTATTAATCTAAAGCTGGGAGACACCTTGTTTTACTCAGTGATTCATCTGGAAATCATTGCTATTTTCAGAGGTGGAAGAGAATGAGAATGAGAAAGAAAAGGACAAAGACAAGGAGAAAAAGGAGAAAAAAGCAAAGACGAAGGACAAAGTGAAAGAATCTGAAGACTCACAGAAGACAAACAAGACAAGCAAAGAACCCAAAAGTAACATCAGTGTTTGTGAATTTATTATTAGGACAATGTCAAGGTTCTTAAAGAAGAAAAATGTATTTTCACTTATGTAGGGCTCTACATTAAGATCTAATGTCTTTTGCAGAGACGCATTTACAGGAGACCTCGACTCAGGAGACAGAGTCTGTGGTGGGGGAGGCAACGCCAAAGAAGAAGAAATGTGATGAAAGTGACAATGAAGAGGACGACAGGTCCCACAGGCCGGACCCTCAGTCGTCCAAGAGGAAAAAACAACTCGACACGTGTGAGTGTGGACCCTTTGTTCTCGTGATCAACAGAACAGTAAAGTATATATTTCTTATTATTTGTAAAGAACGTCGCTGCGTGTTTGAACTCCACAGCCAGGTGCCAAATAAGTGACGAGAGGAAAGACGAGGAAATCCAGGAAAAGGAGAAAAAGGAGAAAAAGGAGAAAAGGGAGAAAAAGGAGAAAAAGACAAAGGAATCTGAGAAAACTACGCCGAGTCTGGCGTCGCTTAACTCCAACTACAGGGGGAGTTCATCTTCAGGCAGCGAATCGAATGAAAGAGTGAGTCGTTAATCGGGAGAAAACATGTTTAGAGAATCATAATGAGTTTGTTTAGTGAAGTCATTGCTACTTCTTCTCATTTCAGTCAACCTCTCCAATGTCAGTGGAGGATCTGGAGAAGTTTGCTTTGCGTCCTGCTCCCAGAGACGTAACCATCCAGTGCAGGGTCACCAGGGACAGGAGAGGTGTGGAGAAGGGCATCTACCCGACATACTACCTCCACATGGAGAAGGAGGATGGGAAGAGGGTGAGTGTGCTCACAGAACCTGAACCAAATCATTGTGTAGATTTGAGCTCTGATAATATTAGCATCCTCTCATGAGCTGTCATTTCTCCATCAAACTTCTCCTCTGCTTCTACAATTTGTTTTTCACTGCGCTGCCACTTCCAAGGTGTTTCTAATGGCGGGAAGAAAAAGGAAGAAGTGTAAAACATCCAACTACCTCATTTCCACGGATCCAACAAATCTGTCCAGAGACACAAACTGCTACATTGGAAAACTACGGTATGACATCATATTTTCTACTATGTGAAAATATTCAGTTTGCGATGCTGATTTCTTCCTGGAATAATCCTCAAACTCTTTTATTTATTTTGTCATGATTTTACTTAAACATAAATAGTGCCCATCAAATTTTGGTGGACCGTTTCAGATACAGGGTATTAGGATATTAAGATTTTAGGTTTTATTATATTATATAGTAAAATAGAAATACAAACACCGACATATTGGCTGATGCTAAATTTGGCATTGATTATCTGCTCCTTGTAAAAAATAAATCAAATTGAAGTTTATTATTTTAAGGACCTTACTTTTTCATAAATAATAATGAATAAAAAGAAAACACAAATAAATGACAATATTAAAAACTTGAATTCAGAAAATCATTACATTTCTACTTAATGTATTCTGTTAAATAAAAGTTTTTATATCAGATACTGATTTGTCTATGAAAGGCTCATGTGAGCTGATATTATTGGCCAAATGCTGGAGAAATAAAGACCCCAAAGCTTTTTGTTTTTAATTTTGGCAAAGTAGACGTCCCCAGGTTTCACCCCAGCATCATGTGTCTTAAAGGAAGTTATAAGATCCGTCTGTCTACAGGTCCAATATCCTGGGTACAAAGTTCACAGTCTATGATGGTGGAGAAAACCCAGAGAAAAAGCCTTTCATTAAAGAGAGTGAATCAGTGCGGCAAGAGCTGGCAGCAATTTGCTATGTGAGTCCAAATATACATCCCATGTTTACATCCCAAGATCACGTACAAAATAATTTAACCCACTTTGTTTATCGCGTTCCAGGAGACAAATGTTTTGGGTTTCAAGGGTCCAAGGAAAATGACTGTGATCATCCCCGGCATGCTGGGAAATGATGAGCGAGTGTCCATCTGCCCAAAGAATGTACGATAATAAAAAAAAATAAATCCTGAACTTTTAAAACCTGACATAAAAGTTAAACTGAAATGTTGATTTTCCCTCAGGAGCTCGAAACTCTTCTGGGCTGCCACGCAAACGGCAACACGGACAAACTGGTCACGCTGGTGAACAAATCCCCGAGCTGGAAGGAAGAGACTCAGTCCTACGTGCTCAACTTCCATGGACGTGTCACCCAGGCCTCAGTGAAAAACTTCCAGATCATCCACCCTGACAACGGTAAATGATCAGACTGTCTTATCCTCTCTCTCCTCTGAACAACCAGGAGATAAACAGCTGTCTTTGTTATCCATCTCCTCTCTCTCTCGTCCCTCTGCTATCTCTCCCAGACGATTACATAGTGATGCAGTTTGGCCGTGTGGCGGAGGACGTCTTCTCCATGGACTACAGTTTCCCCATGTGTGCCCTGCAGGCCTTTGCCATCACCCTGTCGTCGTTCGATGGCAAACTGGCCTGTGAGTGACCCGCGCTGGTGTGTGCCTCAAGTGCTCAACTAGATTCTCCATCTACTTAGAGTTCGAAACTAAAACTTTACCCATCCTTTTCCACAGGATCACTTTTCACATGTCCACCTTGTGTACAATAAATATAGACTTGGATTTCTGAGGAGACCAGGATTATCTTACCACTCATTTTATATTGAAGTGGAAGCATATAAAGTTAGTTAGTACAAGTGAATTTAATGGTATTTTTTATATTTGCGTTAAGGAGTCGTGCAATAAAATAATGAGGACAACTGTGTCAAAACTTCCAGTGAAATATTAAATGATAATAACTCAAAGGTGGCTCTGTTCTGTGTTCAATAATATTAGAATGTTTTCTGTGATGTCAATTTTTTTCAACTGTCAGTAAACATTTTTCAAATCCCATGAAAAATACAAATTTATGTGGCTGCAATCGTCATTCATCAGATTTCTTCACAGCCTCAAGGGACATATCTCGCTTTTTCCAATATCTGCACGTATTTATCTCATGGACGGATGAATTTCTTGTCAAAAAAACGTGTATCAGATGCAGATAAAGCTACTAGTTGCATCAGGGTTTTTGATCTTGCACAATGAAGAAACTTGAAAATACTTGTGTCACAACATCTCATCTCAAGTGCTTTTCACCACAAGTCCCAACTGCTTCACACATAGTGGGGTTCACTTACAACTAATGAACAAAGGTCTATGTCTTTCTATCTTATTATAGATATATATGTGATATAATAGATAAAATGTACACAGATATTTTTTGATTGATATAAGCCACTGAAACCTCTATTTTCACATTGACTGGAGCAGCTGCATGTTCATATGCTGCGTTTACTTGTTTTTCACAGTCACACACTTCACAAGTAAGGAAAAGCAATTCATCACACCCTTTGACCACACATCTTGCAAAATGTACTTAACTGCAATTTTTGTTTTGTCGTAAAAAAGCCATAGTAACACAAAACTGGCACAGTGTCAGCTTTCTGACAACAACTTCCTCTGACAACAACTTATCTGTTGCTGCATATCTTCATGCACTGATCAAACATCAGCAAGTGTGCACCTTAGTTGGTTTGCAAACTCTAAATCAACAAAATCACAAACCTCAGAGGAAGGCATATCGACTTCACAAGACAGAATCACTATAGCATGTGACCAACTTCTGTGGTCACCTGTTGGCACACAACTCATTACACAACACACCTTTAGGGTGCACAGTGAAGAGTATATTCTAGTTTCAGGTTCATCACATGGGAATTTCGAAAAACTGACAACATCAAATCACTCAAAGAGGCATAAAGACATGTACATACTTATTTAATCAAAGTATGTCAATTTAAAAATATATATAATATACCTCAGCTGTCAAGACACCATAATGTGAAAGCCACAAATACACAATTTAATTCAAATTGGCAATTCCTGGACTGGTGACGTAAAATCTTTATTCTTAAAAACCCAATAGTTACTTTTTTAATACTTAATAATGTATGTTAACAATTTGGACATAATTTAGCTGAGTGATTATAAACGACATATGGTTCTGATGTGCATTTTTTGGTGTCCAATCAAAACGATTCCCAACACAGTGCTGAAATGAAAGTCTTCCAGCTTTGTGCCTGTTTGGTAAATACAAGGTAATGAAATGAATTTTAATGCACCTCAGTTTTATCATGATGCATCTGCAGACTCTCAACATTTCAGATGTATTGCAGTTGTTAGTTCAAACAGGGTCAACTACTGGTGAAGGTGTTCTATTGCTTAACCACATTTTATAAAAAGACACAAGACTCACAGTGCTCAGTATGTGTGAGACTACGTTTGTCAAACTGCAGTCTTAACCTCAACTGTTCTCTTAGAAAAAACACATCCTCTCTCATCACTAACCTGTGAGTGATGGCTATCAGTGTAAAAAAATAAAAAATAAACACAGTTTTTATCAGAGCATCACGACGGTGTGACTCAGTTCAGACGTCTCAGGGCCGAGGTGATGTGATGGATCGGAGCTCGACATCGAGACTGAAGCTGATACCACTGAACGTGGTTCTGCTGGTGTTTGCCAACATCATCTGTCTGCATGGAAATCCTATCGCAGGTTATGTCTCTTCCAATATTCTTTAGAATTGTAATATTTCTGAATTTACAGGAGCTCAGCTACGGGCTACTCAAATTGTGGGGAAAGTCTTTGTATTAATGTCCTTTTATATGATGTCCTTGTTGGTAGAGGAAACAAAAGTGGATATTTACCAGCTAAGGGGATACATGAGGGCACTTTAACATCTTGTTACTGACATCTAACGCCTTACTCCTTACCCACACTATAGGTAAAAATGTTTGGCTCCTGACCGACCAAATAAAACACATGCTTCTATAATGATTTGTATGATTGCATAATTACTTTGTAGACGGCCACGATCTTCACTGTGTGAATGATTACTTGTTCACCATCAACTGCACGATGAGCCTGAAACCATCAGAAAACACCTCAAGCAGCAACAGCTCCTACTGGCTCATTTTCAGAGAAACGAATGAACCGTGAGTAACTTTTATTTTAAGATGTTTGTTTTTTTTAACTGAAACATAATAATTATAAATGACCATAAAGCAACACTATGCAATTCTTATCCACAGAATATCAGCCTTAAAATGAATAACAGGGAGGATGGAGCCGCTTTTATATTCACTCCAGAATCAGAAGTGAAGATCTGTTAAAGATATAAAGAAGCCAACTTTTATCTCCAAATCTTTTAAAATATCAAGAATTCTACACAGTTTGGTGCATTTGTTGTAGTGGCAGCTCTTCTGGTTCAGGAATCCAGGGAATCATGGGTAAAATCCAACGTGTTTCAGTTCAGTGTGTGGGACGACACAGTCAGAGATCCGACCTAGTTTAGATTTTTCTCTATATGACCAGTTCATTCATTATATGACTAATTTATCCCACCAAATTTTCATACTGAACCATTTTTTTACACTTCTAATAATAATATTTTCACCGTCCACAGAGAAAGTCAGAGCTCACAGTTGGAGCTGTAATCCTCTCATGCAAGAACTTATCTTTCACTCTCTGTGAACCTGTTACTCTGAATAGACATGACCTTTGTGGGCATGCACCCCCGTCCTGTTCCCTCATAGACTGGATTAACTCTGTGGGAAATGCTGCAGGTGATTGCAGAGCCCAACAGAATTAATCCCCACGTGTGACTGCAGAGGGAGCTGTTGCACAGCATAGGTTACATAGTGTTGCTTTAATTTAAATGAGACTTTGTTGTCTCTCATCTGTGATTCTCCTCTCCTCCTGCAGAAAGACGTTTCAGTGTATGCTGACAAACACAGACAGGGATTATTTCTGCTCTGTTAAAACATCTGATCTGATGCCTGGCGACGATTATCCAGACATCTTCACGGACACAGATACTTTTACAATCTCACTCTGTCCCAACCAGAATGCTGGATCTAAAAGGTGCAAGGAGGTGGATGGTGAATACATACCTGTAACAAACAGTAAGGACCAAACTGATTTCGGCCTGTTGTCATATGTGTGTGTTTTGGTGCATGATGTTTGTCTGTGATGTGTCCTCTCCACAGTTAAACCAAATGCACCATGCTGCCTCACAGTCAGCCACAACTCAGGTCAACACCACTTCACCTGGAGAAGCACCTATGAGGAATATTCGCCTTACACGTATCTGGTCTACACCTTCAAGTATCAGCTACATTTCTTCAGAAGAGGAGACAAACATGACAACAATGAGGTCAACGGAGAGAATAATTGATGTTTTTTTTCCTTGGCCCATACGCCTCCTTTCCACCACGTTTCAAACAGCAATAAAAAAAAAAGTCTTGGCAGAGATAAAAATTATATTGTCAATTATGAAATCATTATTTTATCATTTTGTAGGATTAACTCTTTTTTTTAAAATTAAATCATTGATTCAGTCACTAACGTTTACTCACTAATCCTCTCATATTAAATGTGAGTAAATTAATTATCTCCAATTTCCAATGATAATAATAATAATAGCCCAGCACATTTTTAAAACAAAGGTACAATAAAACAGACGATGCAAGTAATACAATCCAAAACAGAAAATATAACGAGATAGTTTCAACCGCTCTACTAGTTATACAATAAAGTATTAAGAAGAGATTTAAAAGGTGTGGGGCCCTGTGCAGGACATTTAGCTCCTCTCTGTAGTTTAATTAGATCCTACTCTCTTTTCTTGCAGGTGATCTTACGTGAAATTAGAAAAACAAACTATTCTGTGGACGATCAGATCTTTGAGCTGGACACCGAGTACACTGCCAGGGTAAGGTCCAGTCCTAACAATGTGTCTTACAAAGGAGAGTGGAGCGACTGGTCCTCTGAGGTTCACTGGAAGACGGGGCCGGCTGGTGAGTTCCATTGTCACCAACAAATCCTCTGCAAAGCACAGAGTATATTGTCTTTTTTACCAGTGAGTTTCTTTGTTTCCATCAGGATGGAGGAAACTTGGTGAGAAGGCTGCATTTTGTGTTTCTAAAACGTCTCCGCGTGCATTTATTTCCACTGCTTCACTCCTTTCCCTGCAGATCTCCCCGGAAACACATTTATTACAGAGCTGTGGAAGAAGGTGTTCATCGCCTCATGTGTGCTGGTGCCACTCATCCTACTTACATGCTACGCTCTTGTAAAGATGCAAGTCCCTCTTCAAGCTCCTCCTCCTCAAATCCTGAACCACAGTACAGCAACTTACTGAGATCAATACACTAAATATAATATTTAAATCCCTCATACTTACAGACAGATGCAGAGTGCATTTATCCCAACTCCAGCTCCCTATTTCCACACCTTGTACTCTGATTGCCAAGGAGATTTCAAGGTAAATTAAGCTTGTCATATGAAATAATAGAGATTATGTCTTGAGATTGTGTTTAAAGGTTCAGCGTGTAGAATTTAGTGGCATCTAGTGGTGAAGTTGCATGTTGCAGTTGTTCACCTCACCCTCCCCTTCCAAACATGAAAGAAAACCTGTGCTTCTGATTAGTATTTAAATATAAAGGGCTCATTCTAGGATAAAGAAAACAACACTTAGATGAAACAAAATACTGAAAACATCACTAGGATTATTCTATATTCAATTTCTGCCAATAGATCCTTTCACCTAAATCTTACACACAACCTTTAACTATGATTTTAACCATAGATCTGGGTGGTCACACAAGAAGGCACAGCAGACACGCTGAAAGCAGAGGCCTCGCTCCAAATCGACACCCTGACAAAGTGTGCAGACGACCCAGAGGACGAGCTTCAGCCCCACTTTCACCACCGGCTGATGGAGAGCAGCATGTACAGTAACTTTGCTCTGGGGAGTCTGACCCTCTGCTATCAGTCAGGGAGCCCAGCAGAGGGGGACTCTGGGTGCTGGCTGTGCAGCGACACCTCCATAGAGAAGGACTCTCTTTGGTGCGGTAATAAATACTGCACCCTCACGCAGACTATTCCATTCACAGCAGGGCATCATGGGAGTTTGTCAACAAGCATGGATGCCACTGGGGAAACATAAAGATTAGTGTGTATGAAGTGAGTGGAGCAGGATAATAGTGGGAAATTTAGTTTAAAATAAAGCTGGTCCCTTGAGTTTAAACTACAGACACATGTAGTTCTTCACAACGCTGCAATCTGCTACACCAAATGCTTTACAAGTTTTCATAGTGAGGTGGTGTGAAACCAGCAAATATGTTGTTACAGCATTATGTGAAATGTAAATGAAATAAATGTATAACCTTTATATTACACACCCTAAAATAAATAGCTGTCGCAGATTTGAGGGGAAAAAACATTTTAGACTTATTGCACGAGGGACTATTTTGCCTTGTTTCTACCTGCCATGATCTTACTGTATTTACTTCGTGTAATAAAGAAAATGCAAACATTTTGTAGAAAGTTTTATTTACGCCAACACATACATGAACAAAGCACCATATAACCTTAAAGTCTGATACAGAAGTAAGCCTACCTGCCTCAGTCATTGTGGCCATTTTTATTTATTCCATAGCAAACACTCTGAATAACAAAAAGACAGCCAAGGCAGCAGATTCTATCATATATTACAGCATGCTGAATAGAAAACCTGGGAAAGAGAATTAGACAGAGCCATCTAGAGACACTAGTGAGATACAACAGTATAAAAGTGCCATTCATTATACAGCAGTTGAAATACTGACAATGAAAGAAGCTAGTTTTACATTAATTTGATGGAAAATAAAAGGGGGAAACAAAGGAATAGACCCTGTGAAAGAGCAAAATAAACAAGAGACATTTTCTTCCTTGAACACTGATGACAGCCAGCTTGCATTGTGTTGATGAAACTGGTACCGAGCTGTGTCCCTTGCACCACATAAGACAATTATTGTTTAAAAAGAAATAACCAGGGTGCTGAAGCACCCATCCCCTCCCAGCATTATGCGCCAACCGGCAATTAAGAACAAAAAAAATGAAAGGTCAGAAGAGAGCGGATGGCACAGAATGTGTGGAGTTTAAATAGAAGTCTTTAAGCAAGTCCCGGTGTGAGAGGAGCACATTCATCGAGAGACTGAGAGGGGAGGTGATTCTTGTTAAACTCAATCCTTCTGCTGCAGCGGAGCAAGTCTTCTCCTTTACGATGGGGAGAATTTTTTGGCTTGTGCTCGAACTCTTTTTTCATATTCTACTCTGTTTTGGCTGCAAAGGAGTTTAAAAAAAATTGAGTTACCATGGTGATATATTTTCCTCAAGATCAGATATGAGATTTTCTCATATCTATCAAAACATGTTTAATGTACCTTTGACCAATAAAACAAAAAACCAGGAGACCTTTCAGATATTTTGTAATTTTTCTTTTCATGCTGTAAAGCTTGACACATTTCAGACAGGTGTTAAACAGAGAAAGAAAAAATATATTTAACACAACATAAAAACATCATCCTCAGTTTCAGACAAACAAACACAGGCTCTGTAGGTTTTAAATGTGAAACATGTTTTAGACTCTCGTCCTATTGATTACTAACCATCCTGGTCACATTCACCGATGTGTTCTCATCAGGCAGGAGACTGATAACAGGGCTGGTTAGCAAATCAATGGCAACAAGGAAAACAAATTTCAAGAAACAGAAATATATCTCATCTAGTAATGATAAAATGAGATCTGCAAGTTTAAGACAAACCAAGTTGTTAACTTATACAACTTTCCTAATTGAGCCTGGTTTGGGGATTTACTCTACCTTACAGCTCTGTACTCTGTCTTCATCAGTAGTCTCACATGCAGTGTGCACACAGAATACTCAAACCAGTGCACTGTGTAAATTCAGACTCGTGCACTGTGTAAATTCAGACAAGCTCTCCCCAGAAATGACGAACAGAACATGACCTTCACCCTCCAAAATATCTACCAGCTGCATTACTCACTTGACTGAATGAATGTTTTACTATATTTGCTTTACTACTGTCATGCAACATCATGCCGCCATCAGTACTGACGATGCATCCTTCTTCCTCGGCTGCAATTTTCATAAATTCGACCACCCACCTTGAGTCTGGCTCTATTAGAGGTTTCTTCCTGTTAAAGAGCTTTTTTGTTTGCTTAATTTGGGAAGTGTTGCGTTTCTCTCTATTACTGTGAGGTCTCCACCTTAAATATGTTGCATGTTTTGATTCAGCCCTGTATAAATACAATGTACGTGTGTCTGCGTGCGTAAAACTGATTTTTGGTTCTGTTCACACACTTCACTCTGTCAGCACCATGTTTGAAAAGAGATTAACTCCAGTGACACTTACCAGTAGATTGTGTAAGCCTCTGCTTGAGCTGGATCCTGGATATTTGGCTCATTTAGGAGTTCCTGGATACCTAATAAGATCTATAGGATACATTCACCAATGAGACACATTTATTTCATAATAAGCTATTTATCTGTTTTGCATCTCTTTAAATGACTGCTCTTATTGTTGGTCAAGAAAGTTCCATTGGTTGTAAAAAAACAAATATTTTGTTGTGGGTCAGGTGTTTTACCGTAGGTTCAATTAAAGAGTCAATTTAATGGACTGATGAGCTGAAAATATTAATAATCAGGAATAAATCAATAATAAAATCAATGTTTTATTTGCATGAATTTTAAGTTGAACATCAATAAATGTAGTTAACAGCTTAATAGGTCCCGTTTACATTGATTCAGTCTTTAATTCTAAGAATTAACTGATTATGACAAGATAAACGACAAAATCTGAAACTTTTTACAAACACTAAATAAATTAGATTTTTCATTCTTTCTAAAAGAATTGTTGAAGTGAGTGTACAAGTGTGTGTTTAGACTTGATTTAGGGATGAAGAGTGAAACCAAAGTAGAAAAGACTTAAGAAAAGCAGAGTAATGTAAATAAGATGTGCTTGGCAATCCCAACCTGCTTTATTGTGATGGCCGGTCTCCAGTCTTTGTCCTCCTCTAGAATAGATAGGCACACTGTGCCTGATGGATACACATTTGGATGGAAGAGCGGAGGCTCAAATTTACCTGAAACACATTAACAGAAAACTTTCAGGACCAATCCTAAACACAGACAACAATTATAACGACAATGTTACCTCAAAATGATTATAGTAACCCTTCAGCACAATCATGTTAAAAGTTTTGATAACGGTGGACAGAGGACAGTGCAACTCACATTTCGGAGGTGAAGAAGGATAGTCATCCTTGAACAACATGCGCAGTTTGAACAGGCCTCCTTCCCACGGAGTCTGAGGAAACACACAATCGCTAGATCAGAGGTTCAAGTCACATTCACAGAAGTGACCTTGTTGTTATAAAACCTGTTTAACTTTAACAACATCTTCTGTGCCTTTTAAATGTGGCTTGGATTTCTATTCACTATCTATGTTGCTGACAAATTAAGAAATGCAAGACACGTCTACAGCTGTGATTGTACTAAGACTTGATTAAAACCATACATACTCTTTTGCATCAGCTGCAGGAAAGTCATTGTCTTATTAAGCTCATTTAGCAGTAGCTGCTCTGTAAGACAAACATATTCCCAACGCAAACATATACAAAACACATTACCCCCTTCTTGCCAGGAATAGCACATTCCCAATTCATGAGATTCATGGTTCCATCTGGATTTTTTGTTGGTACAGCAACAAATCCCTGAAAAATTAAACAGAAGAGTGCAAACAGTTAGGACATCGGTATTTATAGAAAGATGGAAGCTGAAAGAAGACATTTATAGAGAAGCCAGAAATTGTGTTTCCTCCGATACGCCACTTACAAAAGGATGGTCCTTCCGCCATGCCTTGCGCTCCTGGGCAAGCCGGCTCAATGCAATGCCTGACATGATGTGTGGACTCCTGTAACGAAAAAGAATTCAAGGTCAGTCAAATGGAAACACTGTCCAATTAAAGCAAAAAGCAAACAAAATCATTTGCAGGTCACAGATTCATTTGCTTGAATGTTTGGTGCTTTTCTCCGCTTTATATATGAATGGAACATAAACATTCAGGTCCAAACCGACAATAATGATCATTATTAACTAGTAGAAGCAGTGCATACTTTTATTTGTGTTATTGAACAGTTTTGATTGATGGAGAAGTTCCCACACAAGAAGTTTGTTTGTTTCTACATGATTCTAACAAAGTAAATACAAATGTGCAACTATGGAAAGTAGGCTCCTTCTTTTATACTTTATCAAGGGTAAAGTGATCTGATGTGAACAGAGGATGAAAACCACACATTGTCCTTGTGAGACACATGTAAACAATAGTAAATTCAATCCTCTGTCCTTGTGCATGTGAAACTCCATCACGAACTGTCAGTGATGATAAAGATCTCTATAGTAACGATGCTCTGGAAGTCATGTCACAGTGAAAACAACAAGACAAGCAACAACTACTCACTGATCCCTCAAATGCTAACTAATGTCCATCGACCGTGTTGTTAATTCGGCTTAAAGCGTGTTTTAGCGACATGTCTGGAAAGCTATGAGGGCTAACCAAGCTAACCAGCGGTGAGACATGTCCACAGAACCCGCTCTCTCCGCTCTTTACGCGCCCGCTCTTTTAAAACGCACATGGGGCCCGGGAGGCGACACCGTTAGCATCTGGTTTGTATCGTGTTCTCCGAGCGTTCGGTGAAAACCCGCTGTCAACGCTAACGTCCACACACTTCGCTATCAAAGCTACCCGGTTAGCCGGGCGAGCTAACTCATGTGCGCCAGAATCGTGCTACATCCCGACAGGCGCTGGCGCTGTTAGCGTCGGACACGGCCTGATGCAGCACAAAAATGCGCAAAAGCACTTGATTTGAACGCAGTTTTCAGGGGGGTGAGAAAAGCTGAGGGCTGTTTTTCCTCCTGACGCTTCACGGTGGATATCCCGAAACCACATACGAGGGTGTGAGATGTTGCTTGGAGACGATCCATACCATGAGCCATTAAAGAATAGAGACAAAGAACGCCACAGCTAAAAGGCGCACATTTGTGCATTACCAAACTAGCGAAAATGGCGCAAACTGAAGCGGGTAAAATATCCCAATACACGACAAAACGGGCCCACTGCGCCGCGGGGGCGCGCTCCTACCTTTCAGTGTGGCTGCACTTGCTCTGGTAATTAAGCGAAATGAATTAATCGTGCTCAGATCCCGTTAAAGCTCGTAAAGTTTCCCTCCTGAAAAACCAGCCGCTCCGAGCCCAGCTAGACACACAAACAACGCAGCGACATGGTCATCCGCCCTTTACTTCCGTCTTCGTTTAAATAGCCATAGGAAGACCGGACTGCGCGTCGATCGTCAGGTTTCTGGATGAATCTCTCCGGCTGTCGTGGATTCAGCCGAAAGACTCCGCCTGCCGAGCCGCTCATTAGTTTCTATGCTAGTAGATTAGCATAGCTTCTGTCAAAAGCGCTCAGCTCGTTGAAAACACCCGTGAATCTTGCCTTTGCGGTTGTTGCTCATCGCGCATGCGCCCCGTGGCTAAGTGGGTTACGTGTTCAGAAAACAAAACGATTTGTATTTACGTGTTAGAAACTCACGTGAGGCGCGATGTGTTTATTCCTCCATTTTTTACATGATTTTTTTTTAAATCTTTTCAAAGATGATGTGAAATAAGTTTAATTTCATACAACAGGAAGGCCCGGGGATTTCTATCTTGTTGTATGCAACATCTTTGGCCAGACTGAAGGCCGTTAACCCAAACGACGACGTTCAACGAATAAAAGTTTTGTGCACAGTTACAAGAGAGCTGAAATCAACCCGACATGAGGTTTTCAGTTGTAAAACATGTTCATTCTTTTTTTGTTTTAATCCAATGCGGGGGAAGATGCAGAATTTTAAGAGTCCAAATTTAAACAGGCATTTTTTCAGGCAACTATATCATAGCGTGGAGTCAACGCAAGAGGTCGCGATTTAACAAAAGATATTTGGTGTCACGACTCTCACGTCTCTACAGGTGTGAACATGTGGGATCTACATGTCACATGTGCTTAACATTGAAACTCCTCACAATAAACCGAAATCTATAGAAACAGACGTGATATTAAATAAAAAAAATATAAAACACAGAGGCGTGAATGACAACATTTTTATTGTGTTTACCTTATGCATGACCATATAGATCTATCCCCTTAATCTCATACTTAGTTTATACATTTCTAACATTGCATAAGATCATAAAGACGTGATCTATGTGTGATATGAGAACCTTATTCATTGATGTAACTGTTAGATCGAGGAAAAATGACACATTCATTCCCTCTGATTACAAGAGTGATCATCTTCAATCATGCATTACAGTGGTCTGTGGCTAATAAGTTGATTGGAAAACAAACTGGGCACTTTAAAAAGTATCAGGCTACAGTTTTGATAAGTTTGTCACGTGAAATGATTACCAATGTCGAATGCTCATCCAGACAACTTGTTTTTACCAGTAAAACAAGCAAATTGAACATGTTACACTTAAAATCCCATCGCAGAAAAAGAAAAAAAAAGTCTAAACAAGACCCAGATAAATCTTAGCTCTGAAACAACACAGGGAACGTTTCATCCTATTAAAAGTGAGCAACTTTGCCGTCGGAGAGGGCGAAAAGCAAGATTGTCTGCAACGCTCAAGCACAGGCTGTCAGAACTGGATGGAGTATCATTAAAAATGTCTGCGTGAGGATCAGTTCACGTGGAACAGGGTGTACGAGTTGCCCCTGGTGCAGTCACACAAGTATGTTAACGTGTGTGAGGGAGTGCAAGACGGTACATATTTGGAAGGCTTTAAAATACTATAGCAAATGTAAACATAGCCTAGCTCTGGCAGGAAATCCAGTCTACTCTCTTTGCAGATCTCAAATTTTGCACTTTAAAAGCCCTTGTGTATGTGTGAGTGTGTGTCTATATCAAAAACATGCATCCATACTTGTTTACCCGACAATATAAAAATTGGTTTTAGTCAAGTGTATATGTGAGTAAATGGAGGTTTGTGTGTCGTTAACAAGTCTATATGTACAAAGTGTGCCAGCATTAAGAAAAGTTTACTTGTCCCTGACACTAAGATCAATGTGTGCAATACACATAAGACATTGGATTTTGGTCATTGGGAAAAAGGCAACACTAAATGATTATTTGTGAATGAAATATCCAACCTATCAAAAAACAAACAAAAGAAAAAACACATCAAACCTGAAAACAACTTTCTATATAAAAAAAGAAGTGTTCTAAAATGCAGTATTTACATTAACATTACAGGCTGTAAGCAATGTGCACAGTGTTGTTTCTCACTGTAGTGAATGTAATGCTGTGTACGAAATCTACACAATTCAAAATGCTTAGAAGAATCTATACCACTTTAAATGTAACAGTCAACTTCATAGCCAGCCAAGTATAGCTTTGTTATTGGTTATCAAAACATGTTCCAGGCATGTTCTCAGTGAAAGACACCGTAGTCAGCATCAGCCGTTTCAACCCTAAACTTGGAAATCTCTAGTGCTGTACAAACAATGCAAAACAGAAGTTAACATTATCAAGACTTTCTCGCTCTCTCTTTTTTTTTTTAAAGATCCAGTATAAACAACTTCCATTTTGGAGTTGTGTTTTCTATACAGTGTACAAAACGTGCAGTTTTTCTGTTAAGAGTTAAATATTAATATTGAATTTGGATTATTTACATCAAAACAAAAATCATCTGGATATGAACAGAAAGTCCTTCGCCACTGCCGTCAAACAGTTCCAGTCCCCAAACACAACAAATACTTCCCCTCGAAAAAAAAAAGATCATAAACGAGACGTTCCCCAAACATACGAAACAAGCCATTAAAGGAAAACTCAGCCGTCGGTGGGAAAAATTAAAAAACACCTTTGTCTCGAGGATGTTTTTTTCCCCCCACACAGTAAACAGGAAATTAATGGTGGACACTTATGTCAAAAAAAATATCATCACCTTTAAACAAAATAAATGTTTTTGGCAGTTAACTTTAGATTTATGAACATGAGGTCTCAAACTAAACTACAAGTTCTGAAGATTGATATAAACTTGCACTCAGACATTAAATCTTTCTTTCTTTACGTGACTAAGATTAAAACTAAAAAACGTTCGACCCTTATAATAAAAATAAGTGGACTTCCTGGAAATGTAACAATTAGCTGACCTCACAGCACACATGACCGTATCAGTGGGTAGTTGGGTTACTAAGGTTGCAAGATACAGTGCACGGTGCCACAAGCAGCTACGGTAGCAACACATTTACTTCTCCAGCCAAGAAAGTGCATGAAAAAGAAATGTCCTGCATCTGCCGTCTCTCTCAGGTGAGCTTATTTAGACAATGTGAAAATGGGACTTCTCTTCATTATAGGTCTTTTTCTCATCACCAATAAAAGGACCTGTATTTGATAAATTACCTAATGCCCCTTCAGCATTGCAGTCAGATCACAGTGACATTTTTTGTCCCTTTTCTGACCATTAACCGTAACTGAGAAAAAAAAATGCCACCTCCAACACATCTGACAAAATGAGTGATGTGTAGTTGGGATCCTCATGATCACAAATCTCAGTGTAACAGTTTGAAATCTTTGGAAAAGACATGTCAACTTGTTTTTGGGGGTGAATTTCACATTTAATAGCCCGACTCTCAAACATGCACTAAAGAAATGCACAATTCCCTTCTTAACATCTTTAAAAAAATGATTTTGAGTTGATACTTTTGAGTTACACAGACCGTACTGATCCCTTACCAGACCCTTGAGCTGGAGAGTAGAATTAATTCAACAGATGACCCTGAGTGAATCATTGGCCTCATATGATGACGGCCATATTTTATAGCATAAAAAATTTGTAGATTGCTTTTCCTTACTCTCAATTAGAAAAGAAAAAAAAAAACGTGCTGCAAATTCATAAAGGTCCAGTTTAAGTGTACAGGCACAACTTGTCAGTAAACAGACTTATTTACATCAAGAAATAAAAATAAAGATGGAGGGGAAACAACATAAATGTACACCCCCCCCCCCCTTTTAAATCTCCATTGTGCCAGACGTTCTTCCACAGAGGTGATATGTTTGCCTCATAACACCTGGAGCTCATAATACTAAGTCCTCTTCACATCCGGGAACCCCTTTCCTGAAGAATCTGCAGAGACAAACACATGATAGAATGAACAACAGGCAACATACAAGTGTTTAGAAAGTCCCTGTGCTTCTTTTCTTTTACTGAAGTAGTTATTCTCTCCCAGTCAGTCGCACTCATACATTTTAAGCCTACGTGCTGATTCAAACATACTGAATGCAGAGTAGAGAAAAGGGAAATGCTCGCATGGGTATAAAACAAAAGCAGAGCTGGAAACTATGCAGTACGTGACTGTTATGCAAATTGTTGGTGAGTTCACATGAGCGGTTGGGCCACATTAGATGAGTGAGCGGCAGGTGTGCATCACGGAACGTCTTGCTTTTCATTTCTGTTCTTAGTTAAGAGCGACCACGCTGCCTAATTGAGACAAAAGTCTTAGGTGTACCATAGAATTCTGGTATTTAGTTGTGTACATAGCATTCCAAGAAATACAGCAGTTATACCAGAAACCTCACATAGCAGCCACAGAAGGCACACAGCAGACAGGCTGCCTGTGCGAACAAAAGACCTGTGATGCGCCCCTCACACGTTGCACACATGCAGCCAGTGTGGCCAGAAACCTTCTAACAGAAAAGACATGTTGCTGAAGCAAACTGCAGAGCCCTCAATGACTGTACTCTCAGAGACAAGATGAAAAGCAAAGTTCAACCTGAGTCATATCAAGGAAACACAATGTTTTCTATTCATCATTACATGCTTTTTTTCTTCAGTTGCTAGTTACTAGTTCTCTTATACTCTTATGCTCATTTACTTTGTGGCAATCACATACAGACAATATAGGAGTCAAAAGCAGAGTACTGCTGCCACACTAGAAAAAAAAGAAAAGAAAATGGATAAATATCATGTTATAACCTGAGATGTTTATCATAACAATATATTTTTCATGATATATATATATATATATTTCTCTGTAAAAACTTTACTTATTTCACATTGAAACAATATTATCCAAATAAATAAATAAATACCAGGTACCTGTAAAAAACAATGAAAAGTCAATAGTCTAATTTCTGCTAAATAGTTCCTAAACATGGTAATTGTTATTATTAGACAACAGAAGCTACATATTGAATTTGCAAGGACAAACATACTCCAGGCGTGTGTGCTCAACTACGTGATGCAACGGTGTTTTCGAGCTACATGCATGGCTCATGTCACAGCAGTGTGAAAGATGGACCGTGAAAGAGAAAAGGTTAAAGAAAGAGGGAGAGAAGAAAAGAATGAGGGGAAAGGAATGGATGTATTGAATGTGACCATGTTTAAGCCTGTTTGGGCTGAAAACATTTTTTTTAAACATTGGTCTTCATTAACTGTATTGTGCATCTGAAAAGAAAATCCATCTGTGCAGCTGTTCACTCGTCCATATCTGTCTAAGTGTTTTACTTTAATACTTGTATCACTGCAAATTACAGTACACACAAGCTGCCTGTGTTTAATACTCACTCGCTCATAAGACAGTTAATTTTATATTGCATGTGCTCCTCCTCTCCTGACTCTTTGCTTTTATCCATTAGTCACTGGCACGCACGCATGCACACACACACAATAACTAAAGAGTAAATACTATTTTAGCATCAGTTAAATCTTAAAATAATGTTTGGTATCTGGCCTCTTTTTTTTTTTTTTTTAAATCAGTTTGGATTTGAAACAGGGAATCTGTTGGTGCTAAAAGGAATTCATTTGAGCTCAAACTAAAAAAATTATGCAAGTTTTATAATTGGTAGAAGCTAGATTCTAGTTAAAAGGTTGATATTGCATCAATTTTATCACCATTGTCAAGCAAAACTACAACTAATTTTAACAATAGACGAGTGGTGTACCCCTCCCTTCCTTTACAATGTCACTGAATGAAGAACAATGGTCAAACTGCAGCAATTGATGATTCAGCATTGCCCTCCATTAACTAAGGCTGTGAGCATGAAAATAATTGCACAGGGCATTTTTACATTACTGAAACAAAGGGAGTTTGTCTCATCTAGTTTCAAAGAGGAAGCGTCACTTGTAAAGACATATTCAACCAATCTCAGCAAGAACCATCTGGATTTTTACCTAGCTTTGGCTTGTAGATTCTGAAGGCCAAAGCTGATTTCCAACCTTAATGATCACTTTACTCTGATATAAGGATCTGAAATTTTTCAGTAGGGCAAAATGCAGCAAGGAGGCACGGGAGAGGAAGAGGAGGACAAACTCGGGAGGTGTGGAAGAGGCACTACGAGCAGTTGAGCTCTCACCAGTGAGTCATAAGTGCTCAACCCTAATCAGAGTCATTCATTTCATAATCCGTCTCTTCGTCCTCGCTCTGAGCAACATGCAGCATGCAGACGGCACAGAAGAAGACAAGAAAGGCATGTTGTAAAATGATGGAAATGAATGGAGGAGAAGAATTAGAACAGAAGGGGAGAAAAAATAAAACTAATGGGTTATATTCAGAGGGGATTAACATCTTCATCTAGTGCAGAACACAAAATAACAAGCAAATGTTATCCAAGGGCACTTTTCTAATGTACCACAATCCTCTATAACAAATAAATAACATGCTTTCTATAAGATGGACTGACGACATTTAGATGTAAATTATTTTTTTTAGTAAAGCTGGAAATTAGTGTGTTAGTGCCGCTGGAAACAAAAACAGAGTCTTCACTTAAAAAGATGCACTGGTAACGTTTCATCTTGCTCTTAAAATAAACAGCAGAGTGAATATAGGTTTAGCGCTGTGCTTCTTCATGTGTAGCTGCCTTCAAGGAGTGAGGCCCCCGCGGGGACACGCTGATGGGAGTTTGAATTCCTCAGGGCGTGCCTCCCGCTTCGCTCCCAAAGCCCTGGAGAAAATGACAGACTCCACTAATCTGCAGACCTGGGCTTTTCTAACACTCCTAGCTTGGTTTAAACTGATTTGTAATGTAGTCAGTCTAAACACAGGGTTTATTCACTCAAAAACACTTTGTGATCTCATCATTGATATCAAAATGAGAGTTGTTCTTTTCATACACACAATCTTAGTTTCCCCTTTCCCTCCCTCTTTTTTTATCACTCGTGGTACAAGCAGTCTAGTTTTTAACTGAAGCTCTAAATATTTACAAAGTTCTCCTTCATAGAGATTTCTCATCAATAAACTAGAGGTGCTCTCAGTCCCCTGGTGGCATGTTCATAAATGCAGAGACTTTAAAATCTCCGGCACAGGCCGTCATTCACGCATGTTTGTTGTGGCTAGCCTCTGCACACCCTCTCACTCACACACATGCACGCACTTACCTTAGCCTTCTCACTGGGCTCACTGTTTGTCCCGTATGATTGATTGTGCAGCTCCTTGGAGACTACACACAGGAACTCGGCTTGGTCTTCGTTTCCGTAGTTGTAAGAGGAGCCTATGCTGACCAGCTATGGAGACACGAGAGCAGAGTACATGGGGAGATTTAGCCTTGGACTGATCGAAGTAGAAGCAAAAACTGGGTTTGTTGTGGTGGGAAAACAGGTAAGGAGATGTTTAAAGTAAAGAGGTTACTGACCAAACAAGGGGCACAGAGAGTCTACAGGTTCCTGCAAATTATATTTCTTATTACATTACAAATGGCATTTTACAAAGATCAATCTAATTATTGCCTGTATATATTTAACTTGAAAGGTTTTTTCCTTTTGGAATGTTACCTCACATTTTTTTGCCATGAATAAATGAATAGCATTTACATAGTACACTAAGGCCACTGGGCAAAGGGAGCCACACCTTGACAATTTCAACCAGAATATTTCGTGGAGGTTTGCTACAAAATGGCTGTTTTTTCAGGACCTGCAGATATATCAGCTTGCAAATCCAAAGTCAAAACACTCATTTAAATTACTGAGAAAAAGAGTTGACTTAGGTAAAGACACAGAATTAAAATAATCTGTGGTCGACACAAATAAGATAAATAATGAAAAAAAGAATACAAAGACATTGTAGAAAGAAAAACACATGATCAGCAGATAGTCACTGACAGATTACAAGTGCAGGGACCACAGGAAGCAAACATGCTGGTTGAAAATCAACAGGGACTGGTGGATTTGACTTGTTTAACATGAAAAAGTAAAAGGGAAAACAACAGTATCACCTACAAAGTGAATAAAGGAGCAAACCACAAAGTACCACACTCCCATCCATTGTTTCAGTTCCAATTTTTGACTTGACAATTGACTATCAGTGTTACCATGACACACATGACGTGCAGGATTTTCTCCAATGATTCAATTATCACATCATGAGATCAATATTACTGGCTTGGTATTGATGGAGCTGCAATCTTTAATGTGGTTTCTGTCAGTTGATCTTATTGTGTGCACCTACTATTTAACTACCAGTATATCAGTGTTTACATAAAACAGGGCCAATCCAAATTTAACCAGATGGAAGGCTAGATAGGTAATGTCAGATGCAAAAAAGGAGTGGTGTGAGAAGAGCCTACAAATGTCATTGGAAAAAGAATCATAATAACTTCTACTCTTCCTGTTGCCGGTCAAATTACCAAATCAAAAAGACGCAGAGGACACAACAGGACAAATAAAGGGACAAGCTACATTTAAATAATCTGCATGCACACCTTCACAAGAATACAGTAATTCCTCTTCCTGAATAGCTGCTTGTACTGCTGAATGTTAAGTGTGTGTACATACTGCAGGCTACATGTATACCCTCAGTACCCAGGTGTGCATGTTCAGACACGCATGGCCTCATTAGCCACTGCTGCCGGAGACTTGTTGTTGTTAAATGATTTCTTACATGGGGCATCAACGCAGCAGCAAAAGAAATAAGTTCAACTGGCTACCGTGGAGTCCACACACACACGCACGTGCACGCACACACACACACACAGTGTCATGACAGTAGGTCATTAAAGCTCATCTTCTCCGTGCTGTAGGCTTTGCAGGAGTGTTTCTCTGAGTTTTCCCATCTGACTTGTGTAAGGAGATTAGTGCGATTTCAGCTCTGGTGGGGAGATCCAATGATCCCTCGTCTCAGAAAGAAAGATTCAATCACACATTACCAACATCCAAACAAGTGTGTTCTCATTACAAAATGTACCTGCTCGATAGATCAAAAAATATTTGTCTCAAAAAAGAACCACCACAATATTACAGCACAGCCCCCAACACAGCCAAGTGGCGACATCACAGCAGAACACAGAAAGCTTACAAACTGTGAATGCGGTATGAATAAAAATAATATAATCATAAATTCACAAACAAGAAAAAGGTGTCATGTTTAAGCCTCACTGGTGAGCAAGCAGTACATATAAGCACTGAAAAGAATCAACTCAAATAAAAGAGAAAAGGAGAAACAGCTATGTGTCTACTTGGGATAAAAAATGGCCAACGGGGTGTGTATGGACGACATGGGGACCATGCAGTGACCAGCCCGTGGACAGAAATTTGTGGGACACACCTCTCCGCTGTTGTTTGGCAAAGCAGACTCCTCTCCCTTCACCTCCCTTGACACAATCAGCAGAAACTCTGACTGGTGGGCCCGCCCGTAACCTATACTGACAAGCTGTAACAACCAATCAGAGCACAGAAGGGATGCCCGGATCACGTATGCGGACATTGAGAAAGATGTGATTTGCTGTTTTGGCTTTTTTAGCCATTTCCAACATTGAGGATTGGACCTCCTGCGTCATTGTGAGCGTAGCGGAGTGGGTGAAGCACATGAAAAGGAGGAATGCTGCTGTGAGCTCACAGGAAGAAGATTTACCTGTTCAAACTTCCAGCCGTCCGACATGGTTGACACCATCTGTGTCAGCTCCTCCTCCTGGCACTGCAGCACCCGATACACATGTTTCACTGGAACCTGCAGGGAAAAGTGAACACATGAGAGAAATGAGATGGAAAGAGAGGACAAACCGTTCATGGAACAGAAATGCAACTCCTCTGTCACCTTCACACAACATCGTATACCTGTGATGTTTTGCAGTCGCGTTCCCTGATCTTGTCCTTGATGAGCTTTATTAATGATGTAATGTTGTAGAATTCGGCTTCTTCCAAAACACCTTGAAATGGTGAAAAAATAAATTACATATTACACTTTTTAGGAGGGTATATCCTGCTGCTGCTTCAATACCTGTCAAGATTAAATGAAAAAACAATGGCATCAACTTCAGGGTTTCACAGAGATGCTACTGGAAAAAAAACATTTTAATTATCATCCATGTTATTTATATTGCACTTATGTTCTGTTAAAACTAAAATATGGATGGAGATGTTAGCAATTAATTGGAATAATTTCTTAAGGTAGTGTACCTTCCTCTGCCAAGTCCCTGTTGAGCACCAGTTTGCCATGCCTCAAGTAGTTAAGCACTGGCCCAAAGTATGTAGGGTCTCTGTCTATGAGATAGGCACCAGTTTCATCCTGAAAAGCAAAAAGAGGATGAAAATAATAAACCATCACTGTATTACATGCCCAACAATTACTTCCTACATCATATTTGATATTGTGGATTTAGTTGTGTATGGACAGATAGAGGCAAAAGTGACCTCTTTCCTCTCAACCAACTCAGATGATTACTTTAAAACAGATGTATACTTTCACTGAAACATAATCTGGGGACAAAAACCCAACACAGTGCATCTATGAATAATACTCAAGGGATGAGAATTATGAGGTCAGCTCCTATGCCGATAATCTCCACAGAGGTTGAGAAGACATGCGCACACTGAGTCACACACATACAACAGCTCTGGAAGATCACCTCACTACTCCCACAGGCCTTGGGTTTGATCTTGATTCTTTCACAACCGCTGGGTATTCCCCTATTTATTTAAGTACTGTGATTAGACCGTCTTCGTCTCATGGGGAAACAGGAGGATATAACAATTAGAGCAGAACAGAAAAAGATTTGGAACAGTAGGCTGACTCCACCGAGGGGGAACATGAGAAAGCACCTTGGCTTACAACTGACGTTGAGCCTCATCGGGTCTGTTACGTACAATTCAGTCAATTTCAGGATTAGTTTGAAGTGTTTCTTTGGCTTTTTTTGCTTTTCTCTGAATCTTACTAGTTAAGTAGACTGAAAATAGGGGGAGTTGCTGGGGAATAACACAGTAAATGGTGCAAGAGCCAGGAATCAAACCAGGGACCTGCTGCTCAGAGCACACAGTGTAACCATGTGGTGTGAGCCCAACAGCATCCCAACCATTCTAAAGTAGAGCCCTACTTTTTATTTGATATTTTACAGTTTAACCATATGTTTAACCAGTTTAACTTTATTAAAAAATAAAACAAATACAACAGAATTAATATAGAACTTGAATCAAGAAAAAATATTTTTTTACAATAAATGTAAAACTAAATAGAAATCTTTTCTGTATCATTTAGTCTGTAAAATAAAGATTTGTAGTTGTCATACCGGTGCATATTGGCAAATATTAACACTGATGCTGAAGATTAGTGTAAAAAAGCTCATATTTGACAGGATGTTTAACTTTGCATGAGTGTGTGGCTATCGGTGCAATCTTAGCAGCATTGGTGCAACGTCTGACAATATTTACACAGGAACACAGCAGGATTGTCACATACTCCAGGACATGACCATAACTAAATATAAAACTTGGTCTTCATTGACAACCGACCCCTTCGCAAGATGATGGATTAAACTCATAACCCATTAATGTTTCCAATAATGAGAGAGGCTCCCAGTGCATTTTCTTTTGTAATGAATTTCTGAACCCTCTTGGCTGGTTGACCTCCTTTCTGAGGCAAAAATATTAAACTGGAGCCCAATGGAGCACTATTCTGGTCTCATTGTCCTGTGTCAGTTCCTTACACTTCTATAGTTGCTAGAGTTTAGGGAGAGGTGGGTCCTATCACCTACCTACTAAATAGAATGTTTAAATATGAACTGACATTAACAACAGAGGCTTAACATAACTCACAAAAGGTCAGACAAAAACAATAAACACAAAAACCAACACAGCACCAAAATCACACTAAAGAATCAGACCAATACATATATTATCAAAACTCCCTTATATTCAATCAAGCCACACCAAATTGCACATTTATATCAGTCTTCTAAAAAAGTGGAGAATATATATATATATATATATATATATATATATATATATGTCCTGGTACTGTGCATACCGCCTCACTGTCACACCAGAATAACATAGTCATTGTTTGTGTTATATTTAACATCTCTGCTCATCCTACTACAATAATGAAAGTCAAAATGTCTGCTGTAAAAAAGGTCAATTGCTCTACGTAAATAAACTATTGTATGCTGCTTCGAAAAAAACCTCCCACTGAACAAACACAGAAAGCTACCGTATTCAAACTCTACACTAATGTAAACGTTCTACCTCCTGCCCTGTTGATCTAACAAACAGGCCTCTGGTCTTCTCAGCTAATATGGGGAACTTCGAGTGACAGTCCCTCGGTCTCAGAGAGATAATTGTGGGGGCTCTGATGTGGACTCACATGCACAAAGGGAACAGTGTATTTAATTAAAAACAAAAGGCTATGTCTCCAGGGGCCCCAGCTGGGAAGCACTGGGCAACAGACGAGTAGGGACAGTCAGGGAGGAAGAGGAGGGCTGCTGCTGTTGGGATGAACCGTAGACAGACAGGAAAAGTGATGGCCGACAACAAAACTACTAATACGCTGTTCTAAGACACGAACTCCGGCGAATGTTGCACAATAGTTCGCATTTTCTTCAGATCTTCCCTTCAACAATTTCAATTGTTTAAGCGATGGGTGCTGCAGCATGCAGGAGGCAACATATCCATTTTTTTGTATTTGGATTAAAGCACATCACACTGGCAACGGCTTTTATCACCAAAAGCTCTTGAATCTTGTCTTTCCAAATTGACATCCTTGTTGGTGTCCCGGGGTTCACACATGCACCTCCTCCAGAGAAAATACTGAGGGACTGGGGAGTTCAGTGCATGTCTAAAGCAGCTATAAACACACACTGACACCTACTCAGCTGATGTCTCACACGTGCTACAGTTTTAATGTATTTGTAACCACTGCCATAATATCAATACTGATCACCACATAAAGGTTGATACTTTTCTTAACTGAGTAAAATCTTTCTTCATAGTGGCGCACATTGATTCATTTATTCAGCCCCTCTTGACTCTGCTCCTTCTCTTTCCCTCTCTCGTGCTGACACACATACAGTGTCATCGGACACAAGTGTAAACTTAGACTGGGTGAAGACAACATCAAATTTCAGCATGTCGCCCAAACGTACAGAGTAGGAATATCAATGTTGTGACGAGTAACAAAACAGGTCTACAGCACCTTGAGAATGAAAAGCAACAAACTATTATTACAGACAAAAAAATACACTGACAAGTTTCAACACTGCCTACAATAACCACAGGCTTTCCTACGTGGTGTCTTGCATTTAGGTCTTTTCAAACTGCAAAGCACTCCGTATACAGTCACCAGAACTACGTAAACCTCAGGCCTAGCCTAAGTTTAAATTGAGGACAACTAGAAATCTACATAAACAAAAGCAAATTAGAAGGGCGGCCCTTAACAACAGAGGAAAGTGTAGTGAATTCACGTTATCTCGCTTCTCCTACATGCAATACATATCCTCCCACAGGAAATACCATGGGGACCCACCCTCAAAGCACATGATGTCCAATGAGGCTTTCTGCAGACACATTAACACTGAAAGTCAATCTTTAATTCAACAAAATTGACATGTTGTGGCATGCGTCCTTCTGATTACAACAATAGGTGTACAACAGAACTTTGCATAGAAAATTCACCACTGCAAAATGTCATAGTCATTCTTATAGTGGGACAGATGGCTATTACTAATTATCACGCAAACGACAACAACATGATACAAAAACAAATGACACCAACATGTGAGGGCATTCCAATTTTCTCAGGCCAAGGAGAAAAGGATTGAGAACTTTATCAAGTGCAGCTCGGCCTTCACTGCAGACGAGCCGGAACACAAGCCCCCTGCAGAAACAGTGCTGAAAGATGTTGCAGTAGATCTTCTAAGTCACATGACTGTAACTACTTAGCCAAGTGGAAGTCTGATCCATGTAGAGTGAGAGCCAGGAGTCTCTCTGGAGTACAGGCAGTAATGGCATAGTCAAACAGGCCTTCATCTTTTGAATAATACACACATCACATCAGGGCTATATTGTGTGAAACTATCTCATATTTCAAAATATTTAACACCGTCATTTGAGCGTGTGCTTGACCTTTCACCAAGGCTGAGAGGAACTTCTCGCCTTTCTATAATTTTCAGCCAGACAAGGCAGCATCATTGGTGAGTTTTGCGGAACGTTGTGTTTCAGATACTAAATGAACAGCTTCCTTTTCAAAGTCCCCTAAAAGCTTTGCTGTCATGATGAGAAGCAGTTAGGTAGCTAAGCTGACAAGTTACTGCAGCCTGGAGGTCTCTGTTGGCAGAAGGAGAAATGTGACGTGAAATAGAGAAAAAAAGAAGCTTGAAGTGAAAGACTTGCACTCAGTTATTATTTATATTTGTGCAGAATAAAATTCAAGCTGGCAACATTTTATTTTATTACAACAAGGCAATGATCAATTGTAGGTGCCTGGTTTGTGTAAGTAAAGTTTCTTTAGAATGATAAGGCTTGAATCGCATCTAATTTGCCAGTAGCACTCTGCAGTGCCCTGTTGAGCACTTACTGCAAGAGGAGCAGTAGGAGACGATATTACCGTTAAATATTTACGTTGCCTCCCACAGTGTACTCAGGCATGACATACAACCTGAATCCGGCATTAAATATGGCCATATTTTTTTCACACATACTGTGGAGAGAGGTTCGGGCAGCAAATGGATATGAATATGAAAAGAATAAGTCGAAGAAACAAGAATTCTTTGTGATGGGAGTGCTTGAAAAATTGATGCAGCTTTGAGAGCTGGAAAGCTGGGTCTTTACTTGAGTGGCCCCGAGTTGAGTAGTTTGAGAGCAGAAGTCTGCCAAAGGGATAAATGCCCACTGATGTGCATCTCTTAAGCTTGGTGACTGGACAACTAACAATTAATAGCAATTCAAGCTTATGAATTAGTGACCAAACCTTCGTAAACCTATAGACAATATCACTCGCACAACACCAGTAGTAGCATTATTCTAGGATAGGCTGTTAAGGCTGTGCACGTGACATCACTTCCTCCACTTTCTCCCTGGTCTACCCCAATGTGCAAAACAGGCTCCAGTCAACAGCATGAATAATGCAGTTCTCCTCAAGAGTCCTGCTGAAGCACGTCAGCCTGCGTGACTGAGAGCTGAACCACTCATTTCCTTGGCTGGGAAACACAATACTGCATCTCCCCAAAACAGCAGCTCTTCACTGATCTGTCAGTTTGCTGAGCTTCCTATTCATATGCAGTGTTATATGGAAAAAAAAACATGGCTCAGTTGCAAATAAGATGAAATAACGTCAAAGAATAAGTTTGAGTCCTAGGGGCAAGAAATGTCCAATAATAACCTGTCCTTTACTGGGATAAATGTTAAATCAGGCTGTCTGCAGGAGAAAGGTACAGTAATAGCTTGAGTGACTGATGCGTACTTAAGACAAGGGATTGAGATGGACTGATCCGTTTGCTCACGAGAGGATAAACTGGCAAAAAAGCAAGCTGATTATTCAGAGATTAAGATATTTGCATGAAAATATGAGATGAGCCTTGCTTTCAGCTTAACGTGAAGGGGGTGGCAGGGGTGAAGATTAAGTAGATGAAAAAACAATGAATAATGGGGTAGTGAAATGAGCTGTGAAAACCAGGGCACGTTCCACTATGTATACAGACACTAACAAATTGTTTTTGACAGAGCTGGGGGGCCTTGAAGCAGGCACGCTGCTTTTAAGAGAGGCAGATGGACGAACAGAGAGACGTCTGATTCTGGAGATATTGAGGCCATTCACAGGGAGATGAGTGACTCCACCAACCCCCCCAGCTCTCGGTTGTCAGCAGCACCTCACCCCACTTGGCAATGACTTATGTACTCATTAGGGGAGCCTCATCACCAGCACAGAGGCTGATTACTACACAGCAAACAGAGCCAAGAAACAGACTAACCTCAGGAGAGGAAGGGAAACACACACACACAAATTGATTGATCAATAAAATCTTATTATGTGAAGGTTGTTTGGTTGGTTAATTATTGGAATAAGGCTTGTAGATGCTGTAATCAGTGGCAATGGCCAGGATGAGAGATATAGATGGAAGTTTTTATTTGTTATTTAGATAAACAGCCAAATTTAAAGCTACAATTGTAAACTATTAAATCTGAGTGATATAACTAACCAATAGTTTAAATATTAAATTGTCACAATGGAAACAGGCGTGAGTATTGACCCAGAAGTGCACAGTAACTGGTTGTATGTGGTTTTATCATTAATATGCTGATAATGAGAGGATTGTGTTTACTGTCACTATCTGACCACTCGCATTTCATCGGTTTTGAGATGGGGAAAGTTTCCAATTACTGTGGCTACTTGCTAAATACACCCAAAACAAATCTTTAAAAAAGGACAATAGTGATTCTTCTTACACTTTACACTTCATAGAACACACTTTGTTGACCACAAGAACTGGTATGTTACATTATTAAAACAAAAAGAGTAAGCAACCCTCACTCGGGCTAGCAGCAACATCGTATGTCATGTGGTGACTGTCGGAATCTAGCTAGCTTAGAGGGCTAATGCTAGCTAGCGACAAAAAAAACGAGTTAACGCTGAATATTTGAATAAACGCTTATATCCACAAGGCTGCTAATGTCGCTAAACTGGCTGGTAGACGCAGTTATTAATGAGTCCAGCCGCAGAACAACGCGGCGGGGTGTTAAAAGCTGGTTTAACGGAAGATAAAATGCAGTTAACTTAGTACGGCTCCTAACTACAGGGCTAACTAGCTTAGCATTTACCTTGTCGGAGTCGAGCTCGGGGTCAGCCTGGCTCAGTCTGTACAGAAATGATTTTGGATCCCGACACAGCGTCTGTCTCGTCGTTAGAAAATACGTGCCCCCGACGTTCAGGCGGATCCACTTCGATGCCCCGACACCGGTTGAAATGTTTCTCTCCGCCGCCGGGGAATGGGCCACACATCTCCGGTGAACGGAGCCGCTCGTCTCGGAGCTACTCTCTGCCATCCCTCACTCTCTCCTCCGCCCTAGCCTCGCCTCGGCTCGGCTCTGTCTGACAGGAAATATCCGCGCTGCAGCCGCTAACTTGGAGAGTCCACGGTTCATGCAAAGCAGGCAGCCAGCGCCTGGGCCACTCCTACTAACCCACTCCACCAGCACTGACAGATGCATAAATTATTCCAGAAGAAACGGGTCCTCCCTGGATTGAGCCACTTCTATATGGAGCACTGATCCCCTGCTGCTGAGACCAGTATGTTTAGTGTGTAGGGTTTTATGATCGCTATACAGAACATGGACTTAGACCATGCAGGGTTAAAGTGCATTAAGTCATTTCCACGACACCTGCACTGAGAACAGGCCTGTATTTTATTAACATGCTGCAAAAAGAAAAAACGTGAGATGCCATTGCCACTGATTTCCCTGTGTCATTGACTGTGGTTGTTAACAGAAGACAGGACACATGGCTTTATTTGTATGCCTAAATCCCTACATGCTTTAATTACTGGACTACCAAGCATTAAGTGGAAAATTCATCATTCAACATCTACTGACCTAGCGCACAAATAATCAGAGAGAGAATGAACAGATTCATTAAATTATCAGAATATGATTAAATCACTGAGCAAATAGAAAATGTATGATATAGTAAGAAAAAAGCTGTAAAATATTATAGTTTACAATAATTATTCACATTCAAAGGCTTTACATCTCAATACATACACAACATGGCCCCTGAACATGACTTCAATCGAAATATGATTCATATATTAGAATTTAAATAACACAGAATGAACTAGAGGCTAAACAATAGCCATCAAATAACCTTATACAAGAATAAAAATACAAAAACTGTATCCTAATATCATTGCATTACTTGCTTCAGATTTTAATAATACATCATCTGTACATCACAGTTCTAGTCAGTTACAAGCCAGGTAGAGTATTCCATACACAATGTAACCGACTGCCATCGACTTGATTCAAACAATTTCTCTAACTAGAGGAAAACACTTCTCTAGTGCTTTCTCAACTTTATAGACAGATACAGCAATTTTCATCGGTTATTTGGATCAGATAGATATCCTTTAACTGACATCCAACCACAACCAGCCCTGGGCCCCTGGGCCCCAGGGCCTGAGGGTCCTATTCACCTATACTCCAGTCACACACTGCACAAACAGACTCAGCTGAAGGAAGAGGACCTTTGGGAAGGACCTGAAGGTATTATGTCAAAAATTAAAAGCATCATGATAATACATATTGCTAAAACAAGAGCACAAGTTAAATCAATCGCTTTAATTTCTATTGGGCCAAACGTCAGAATGAAAACAAAACAAAAATACGGGCTAATAAGCCCAACGAGGCAGTTCTGCCACTTTGTCCAGGGACGACAGCTTTATTGTGATTGCTTCCGAGAATGATAGTATGTGTATGTATCTCTGTTGATGAAAGTTTTCTGTTCAGCATGGGGTGGTCAGCACATAAGATTTCGTTTTCAATAGGACGTACTGAAGATGAGCCGACTATCCCACCGAAAAAAAGGAAATTGAAAGAATTCACACCACAAAGAAATAGCCAGTGAATGGTACAGAACAGCCAAATCATCCAATAATATTCGCAATGGTTGCCAATGCAGTCAAAAATACCCACCTTTAAACTTGAATAACCTATAACTCCAGTGCCCTAGGAGAGAGAAGCGGACAAAGCTGAGCTACAAAACTGGCCATGCAGGAAAGATAAGCAAGTTATGATTAGAAAGTACAAGCTAGTGGCATGTTTACCCACCCCCTGTTAGCAATACATCCTCAGTAACAGCTACGGAAGGCTCACACTTGTACAGAGACTTATTCAGACCCATGTCTCACTGCAGACCAGCACTCTGCTTTGTTACATAGAGACCTTAACTGGACTGCAATAAGCAAGTACCAAGAGACAAAAAAAATAAAATAACAACTCAAATACCGTGGGAACATTTGGGCTCTGACAAAATTATATATATATGTATATGTGTAGGATTTGAGTTTGGTAAACGTGTGAGACTGAATCAGCTTACACTATTAGTTACAACTATGGAGTATATGCACTAGAAGTGGGGCCTGACTACAGCTTGCACATATGATGTAGGATTAGGATATGGTTTAATTAAGATAACAGGATAGGCTCTGGTTCACAAAAGCTAGATTTTGTGTTATGGTATCATTGAAGCAGGAAACCAGTCCTTGCATTTGAGATAGTCCTAGCAGTACCCAAGCTTGTTTCACTCTATAGGAAAAGCTTGCCCTTCTTATTCCTCCTGCAGACTGTACAAAAAGCAGATGTGCATGGTGGCAGTCTTATCATCCATACATGGAAAAAATGCAATAGAAGCCTCACAGAGAGCACAAAGAACAAGCAAAGCAACCCTGAATCCAAAGTTGTATTTTTCCCATGGTTCTACTCAGGAAAACAAACAAGGTCTAGATGCCAGCGTCTCTAAGAGTTTGTTTACACTGCGGTGATGAAGGGCACTAAAGAGGGTGTTACTCTGCTCAGTGATTGGCCTCAGAGCTAAAGAGGAGTGGCCACAGGAGGAACTGTACTCCTATAGGCCAGGGTTTTGGTGCCTTTGATAGATCTTTCTCCACACTTCCTGGATCTTCTTGCACCATCTGTCAGCATTTCCGCTGGGGTCCATCAAATAGTATGTTCGGTTAGGCTGCAAAATGAAGAAGAGGAAGACAAATATGTTAAAAAGTGAGATAATTTTTTTTTACAGGGGGGAGTGTCGACATATTGCTGGAGGGAAGTGTACAGCACAGACATCAGAAATAAACAGTCAATTACCGTGTGAACAAAGAAGGTTTTGAAGTTCTTGGCCTCAGGGCGTAACTCTGGGGACCAGGGAATCTCTCCTTTCAGGACCTTGTTAACAGGATCCACGTAGTACAGGTGTGGTCCCTCAGTGAGAAGCAGCTGTCTCCGCCGAGCAAACAGACCCTGCAATGGAATGCCACACAGCACAAAACATTAAATCACCAACAGAGGGGGCTGTTAGGCCAAAGAGACTTTCCACACCACAGCAGGGAATTCCCCTTTACTTCCTGGATGCTAAGAGGCTGAGCAATGTTATAGGAAGTCACTGTGCTAGGAAATACAGCTACCTCATAAAAAGATTCAACTTGGACAGATTTGATCTTCTTAGAAATGTAAATTTATGATACATAAAGTTGGGTCAAAACATCTGAGATGACTTTCCTATCACTAAGGGGAATGATATTGGATCCCGCTGTATAACACTACAGTAATGCAATATAAAACTTTAAAAGATACAGGCTTGATTTTACACACCTTCCGTTTATCGACTGGACCCATTTTGAGGATCAGGTTATTCTCCACAAACTGGTGCCTGAGTAAAGAAGCAAAACCAGATTAGTGACAACTTACATGATTTTCCTGCCCTAGAATGTGTATATTAACAACTACACAAATACGTATCCTGATCATACAATAATAGAAATTGCACCACATTTCACGCCACTAACACACATGTAAACAAGTGGATAAGGGTGAAACATGTAGAGGGGGGTTTACCAGGGGTTTCCAGTGGTCTGTTTATCCAGCAGTAGTTGCTTCTCCTCCTCAGTGAACTGCAGGTCCAGCTCAAAGGAGTTGTTGTCCAGGTCATGGATGTACTGCTCGATGTTGCTGCTGGACCTCTTTGGGGGCGTGGATTCATGTGGCGACAGGGAGTGTGATGAGCTGGACTGGGCCACCTGCATGTTGCTGAACTGGCTCAGGAGATCATCGTACTGAGGTTGGAAATTAGAGAATCAGAGAGAGAAGATAAAGTGGGTTTTGGCTGAAGAATTGTGGTTTGTACAAGGTTTCCTGAGGTGTCAATCATAAAACATTACATTGAAATCTTACATTTCCGTAGCAGTCCTCATCGTCCTCGGACATGGCTGGCAGATAGGGCGTGAGCTTGGGGGGTGTCTGTAGGTGTAGGTCACTCCAGGAGATGGTATCGAAAAAAGGGTGCTGTTTCAATGGGTCGTACCCTCCCATCTCTTCGCAGCCAATCCGCTTGGAGGGGTCCAGTGACTGACGGGAAAGGAGAAACAGATGTTTTCATTCAATGGAGAAACACTGCTCTATAAATAACATGACCAGCAAAGATAACTAATATGCCAAAATAATTTCAGCAACATTTAGTTGCAGTTGGTATTTGACAACTCACCAAAAGCTGTCTGACAAGATCCTTCGCTTTGGGGAAGAATTTCTCTGGGAATTCATACTCCAGCTTGATTATCTTCTGGAATATTAGGTACTCATTTCTACAATAAATAACACAAGAGGAAAATAACATTAACAAGACTGTAGGAAAGTGTGCCATAAGTAAGATATTGTTTGCTGAGGCAGGGTTATTCTCTCACGTAGCATTTGTTGCACTTGAAATAATCATTAACAGTTAACTTAAATGGGAAAAACAGCGATAGAACATGATCAGCCATTATTGAAGCAGGATTTAATGAGAATTAACTGAACTGTGAAAGCAACACCCCCTCAGTACTTACCCAGCTCTGAACGGTGGTAAACCAGCCACCAGTTGATAGATAATACATCCCAAAGCCCAGAGGTCAGAGCTATGAGAAGAAAAACATAAAAAAAGTTAAGATGTAAGGCCATCTTTATCTGACAAACATTAAAACAGAACAGTGAATAGCAAGTGTGAGCTGCATGATGATCGAACCTAGTTACCTCTTGCAGGCAGATTTTTCTGTTAGCAGCTCTGGAGACACATACTGTGCTGTTCCAACAAAGGAGTTTGCTCTTGCTGCCAAACAATGCAATAAATCATTTTAAGACATGAATACATTTATACTGCTCACAGAGAGTAAACTGACAACTTGGGGCATAAATAAAATCAGTGATGTGAATATACCTTGTTTACTGTCTGATGATAACTGTTTTGCTGTCCCAAAATCTGTTATCTGGATGTGCATCTCTTCACTCAGAAGAATATTCTCTGGTTTCAGATCTCTAAAAGGTTTAGTTTATGGTGGGAAAGCAAACAGTTAATATTGTTTGAAGAATTACATTAGGGAAACAGCAAGAAGGACAGAACTATCATTACACATGAAAACAACAGAAAGTCTTACCGGTGTATTATCCCCTTATTGTGTAAGTATTCTAGAGCACAAACTATTTCAGCCGAGTAGAATCTAGTACAGGTTTCATCAAATGAACCAATTTTGCGAATGTATTTCAGTAGCTCTCCATTCTTGGCGTAGCTGAGACCAAAATCTAAGAACTGTGAGTTAAGGATCAATTTATTTACTGGAAATGAAATGTTAGAAAACAACTTTTCATATTCAAAAATGTATGTTACTTATATAAAAACACAACTTGACAAATTGTACTTGTTAAAAGGATACACAACTTCTCATCATCTTGAAATGTGAAGTAGAGTTTGACGAAGAATGGATGATCTAGATTTGACATCAAATCCCTTTCTCTTTTCACGTACTGGGCTTTGTTCTCCTTCATAATATGGCGCTTCTCTAAAATCTTAACTGGAGAAGAGAAAAGAGAATTTCAGTATAATATAATAGTAAAACAAATGTAATTTCTTTATATTGTTAATAAAGTGTAATTCACTGCATTCATTGAAAGTCGCGGCAGCATTACTTACTTGCATATTCTTTCCCTGTTACCTGCTCTCTTGCCAGGACAACCTGAGGATGAAAGAACAGAAAACACACAGCATGTTACTCTAGCTGTTTTCAGACATGACCTGTGGGTAAAATCCAGAGAATTGGCTATGGAGTTTACCCACAGTCTGCCTTTCAAACATGCACAACACAGCAGGAGGTTCTCAGCACAGATGCGTTCACAACAGCAACAAATCCTCTGCATTTTTTGGACGAGGGGTGGTGCAGCGGACAGAGGCAGGAAGCGACGTATTAAGAGATCACGTGATTTTCTTGTCATACACACCGGTGTCTCACCACAAACTCTCTTGACGCATTTGTCAGTGTCCTCCATGTGTGTCACCGCCTTTTCACCAGGAGATATTTGTTTTATTTATTTTTATTTTTTACCTCTGTCGCTTGTTAGAAGCACCATCAACCCCCCTACTCGCTCACAGTGAATCCAGTGGGGATCCCACACTGTGCTCTCACACTGACTTTGAATTTCAACAGACATTATACTAGGCAAAGACATTTGCTTTCACACATGCACCTTCTGCAGACAAAATACAGAAGAACTGCGGAGTTCAGTGCATGTCTGAAAGCAGCTTATGTCATAATCTAGTAAATCTTAGGCCCTGTTTTGTCATTACACCTCAACTGCACTGAGGATGACTCATCCAGGTTTATTAATAAAAAGAATGCTAGCATGTAGCAACATATACCCAAGTATAATTCAAACGCTAAATGGAATGCAAGTTACATACCGTTGAGAAGGAGCCCTCTCCCAGTATCTTGCCAAATCTGAAGTCCTCTGGCTTCTTCTTGCGTGGCTGAGGGGTCTGCACAGCCGGCTGTGCGCGGAGGTCTGAGACCTGGCTGCTGGCAGACGCTCCTACAGCTCGAGCCCCTGAGGCTGAGCCCTCCATGCTGGGACAGTGGCTACTGCTTGCGCCTGGGATAGCAAGTGGCGAGCAGGAGTCAGGGTGGTTTCTTACCATTGATGGATGCGAGCAGGAACAGATGACAACACTGGGCTGAATGGGCACAACATCATACTGAAACAAGAAAGGAAGCATTGAGAATATATCAGTGAGAGTATTGCGGTTTTTGTTCTTGTTTTTTTTTTTTTTTAAAGAAGAAAAGAAGCCACATCCATGTGGTTTGAATTGTTTCTTCATAATCTAAAACTGTCGAAACACACCTTTTAATGAACTCAAAACTACAAGTCACAATACTTTTCCTTCACAGTGATTAGCAATAGATATGCTGGCAAGTTTAGGTCTTATCTAGCAATCACTTGAATAGAAGGAATGAATATTAGCATACCAAAGTGCCAGTGAGAACTGCTATTGATCACAATTTGTTAAAAGAATAACTGTTTATGGAAATTGACTGCAAGCAATTGTTTGGTTATACTACATCACAAAGTTAACTTCCTGAAACAAGAGAAGACTAAAAAACTAGGAAATGAACAGCAAATGTTGATACAATGAAAAGCTCAAACTATAGAATATAATCAACAAAACAAAAAGTTACCAAAAGTCTTCCATAAAAAGAGTATATGACTCTAGAAGAGATGGAACTGAGGATCTGTGTCATGTAGGTTAAATTCACTTTCCAAGGTCAGTGCTGCAATACTTAGGGGGATATAATGACTTAAATAAATAATTTCAAATGAGACCACTTGAGGAGCAAAGTCTGGAATTGATAAGGACATGGAACAACCATGGAAGAAGCAGATTCTGAGCCTGGTGGTCCCACCCACCAGTGTTTAAGTTGTAAAAACAGTGTGAAAGTTACTGCCTTCATGTGACAGGTGTTCTCACCACCGAGACTGCAAAGAACTCAATCTGATCTGTATGTAAATGATCGAGTTGCCAAACAAACACTGACGAGACACTCACCAAATTATAGTCTAAGTCTCAAACATAACACACAGCGACAGGTTGTACTTTCTAATACTTAGAGGCTTCTAACAACCTTCGATATTTTTACTTATTGGACAATCTAAACAGACAGCGATTATGTTATTCAGCTTACAACTCAGTTAGTGTTAGTTAGTACAGTTGGCCTAGCTTCTTCTCATTCAAAACCAAGGTGTGGCCATTTAGCTGCCTTATCCGGACTAGACTGTAGGGTTGACAACTCGCCACATTGCTATCTACTCATCCATTACCATTGGTAAAACATGAAATTGCTGACAGAAAAGCGTACGTAGCATTAACCCGATCGTCCGTACTCGGGTAACAGGCCCGAGCGAACTTTCCTAGCTAACTCACGGCTGCTAGGAGGCTAACGCTAGCTCCTGCTGCCTTGTCAAATAAAGCCGGCCATCGCTGACAGCGAGTTACAAACTTACCGCTAACAGCCAGGCAATTAGCTAACGTTAGCAAGCCAGGTAACATAAGTCACTTCAAAACACGCTGTAGCTCGCATGGAACATCGCTTAGTCTCGTTCCAAGTGTGTGCGCTGACGTTAATGTCAAAATGTGAAAGTTAATGGGTTGACAGTCGAGCCTCAGCACGTTAACCTTAAAATGCTACCTACCAACTAAAGGTGGAACGCGATGAAGCTACGGCTAGCTCGTTAGCAAGTAGCATCATCGTTGGAAAGCGCGAACCCGTGTAGCTAACGTTAGCCAACAGATGCTGGCCATGGGAAATGGCTCTGCGGAACATAAAACTGATAGCAAGTGTATTTTAATAATAATTCAGCGCCAACTGTTTCCAGTGAGCAGTAATCGCGAAACAAGCCAAGTGTTAGACAGACCCGATCGACGCAGCAAACATTTGGTGTTGTGTTAGCAAACATTAGCGAGCTAGCGCTGCTGGCTAGTGAGTCGTAACGCTGAAGGATCCTCTGCGGCTAGCACCGCTCCACAGAGGAAGGCCCCACCGAACTATTTGTTGTCAAACAGCCGCCGCGCTCCACATTTTCAGCACCGGCTTCGAATCGTCGTTCGCGTCAAAGCTGCAACACTCACCAACTGACTTGTAGCTCTTGCCATGGGAGTTTCCCTCGAGTATTTATTTGGAATAAAATAATTAGAGAAGCTCCAGTAATGGCTGCCTCTGCGCCTTCATTTTCGAGCTGTGACGTCGTTCCACAACAATGTTAACGCAGGACAGCAGAGGAGAGTCCCGCTGTGTCCGCCCCCCTCGCCACATTTACAACCGACTCAACTTCTCCTCCTCAGAGACACGGAGCCACACGGCAGCAGTTCTTTACATTCAGATGCAACAAGACTGTCTTTGCACCAGTGTTTTAGATTTAATGTTAATGCAGCACAGATTGATCTCCACATCTTTTATGGCATTTTAATTCAAGCGTAAAAAAAGAACCCATGCACCTTAGATTGAATGAAGTCTGCAGGCACGCGTTTGATTCCATGAAAAACATTTATTTGGATTATTTTCATGTGTTGATACAAAACTGCAATCAGTTCATGTTGGAGTAAAACAAGTTTTGTGTCCTTGTGTTAGAAAGAATCCCAGATGGTTAAAATACGCTTTATTGTGAAGAGCCTGATTCCTTCTCCTCCACTTCATGATGATGCGAGGCTGTTTCTGACTCCTCGTTGCTTTCCGTTTTCTCATCCTCCGCTTCGTCCTCGTCGTCCTCAGAGGCATCCGTGTCCTCATCAGAATCATCGTCTTCAGATACACTGAATACAAACATGACAGGTCAATGAGCTAAGTAAACATACCCATGGGAATCAGGCAAGTTCTTATCGTTTATTCATTTTTGGTCACTTTTTAATGCAAAGTAGAAAAACAAAACTGTCTGACAGCTTTAAAATGACTGGATCAGTAGTAATTGCTCATTTAAAAGCTTGCACATCAAAAGAAGATTTGCAGTATGTGTGAGGGATTGCCTCTTTCTGATAGAAGTTACACATTTAATGCCTTTAAGAAAAATACTAAAAGCTTACCACTGATGTCTGTTGAGATTCCTACACTCTACTCCTGAATTAACATCGAAAGGATCTGTGGACAAGACAGACGATTTCATTCAAGAACAAAATTGTGTCAGCATTAAGCAATAGCATGCAGCTTTCTCCATGTGTGGGGCAATTTTCCAGACATGAAGGAAACAATCACCCTTGTCCCAGACTTCTGAATCACTGCCTGCATCTCTGATTAGTTCAACAATTCAAATAGAATGACATTAATCAAAAACAAATTAAGTAAGTACCACATAAAAGTAAATTACATCGGATTATTGATTATTAGTAGAGGAACAATGCAAGGAACACATCAGTTTTATAAAATTATGAGTCAGATGCCACAACTAACAAAGCCCTTTAGTTTTTAATTAATAAAAAAAAAACAGGGTTTTTCCAGAAAATAATTTGCAGTGGTGAGTCACTACAGTAAAAAAAACAAAAACTACAACCAATGTTGGAGAAACTTCAAAATAAACAGACTGAGTTAGTAAGATCAGTTTCCGTAAAATGCAATTACTCATGATTAAGTTGTAATACTCCATAAAGACAGCTTTCATTATTATAATGTCTGATAAAAAGAACTATTTCAGGGACAGATTTTACATGAAGACAAACCAAGACTAAAAAACAGCAGATATTGGGTTAAAAAAAACCACTGCAACTGTCACATAAATATGTATATCAATATATTTATTCCTGATTTTACCAAAGTCGTCCTCCTCTGGTTTGGATGTGAGAAACTCCTTCTCTACAGAGAGCAGCTCTTCCTCTGACTGGCAAGCAGCATAGCGCTCCAGCAGAACTTTATTCAGCTCCAGGAACACTCTCCCCCACTTGAATTTCTGCAACAAGAGCACTGCAAGCTCTTCAAAACCTGCAAAATCAGAAAAAATGTGGCTGAGTTTCCCTGTCATACCTGGTTACAACAAGCAGTCAATCCAATACATAAATCCTGGTTAAGTGAAGCCACATACTCACCTACAATGCAGAATGTAGCAGCAAAAGCCTCAACACAAGATAACTTGCAAGGCTTGCCGTAGTTGACAGGGTTTGCGGCTACGAGGTACGGCAGTAACCTGGGATGAGTTCCGACCATCTTGCTGAAGGGAGTCTCCTCCAGTTTGGCCCAGGAGCAGTCAATCACCGCTACACCATTTTGAGCCACAATCTCTCTGTGCATAAAGGCCGACATGGTTTCTTTTAAATCACAGATTATGATAATCATATTATCACAAGTATAAAGATTATAAAGAAAATGTTCTATTAAAATAAGTTTATTTTGGAACAATTATAATTACATGCAGTAAACACATTGAAAAAGAGCTTGAATGATCAGTAATCAAATAAAAAACAATTACTAGAAACACTGAGTTTGCACATTTAAATATGCTGAGCTTAATTTCATTATGAAATGTATGTGCATATTTTCTGGCTTGACTCTTGATTTTATAATCCATATGTGTTATTACTATAATAAACCATACAGATTCTTTGCAGCCCTGCACTCATTCTTATTAGTGTAGTTGATGCAGAAGAAGACTCAACACACCTGTCTGCCGGCGTAACATACTTTGTGCCCATCGGACTAAGTATGAGTCCATTGAACCTCTGGTTGAGGCGCAGGTTGCGTACAAACCCTTTGCGTGCCAACTTTCTGCCAGTGCAACGTTTAGGATCACAGTGACCCAATTCCCACATGGCGAGTGGACATGGCAGTTTCACCTGAGGGGCCTCGGCTCCTTCCTCTACGTGAAGACTCGCTGGAAAGAATGACAGTGACAGAGGACATAGGCTCCATTATGATGTGAATGTCAACAAATTAATAAATACCTTATAAATAATAAAAATAAATCCATTCATATTTGTACATATATACAAACTCACACACCTGCATACCCAACATAATTTAATCATAACCTCAGAAGTTGAATAGATAAAGATCGTGTGTCTCCACCTATGGTCTCCACATTAAAACACATGAATGTCATGTAAATGCTCCATAGTAGAAACTTAGGTACAGTTACAATTATTTACCCTTGAGTATTTCATTAAGCATTTTGGTCATGTTGTACTTGCCAACATATAAAATAGAAGGCAAGCACAAATCAGCTGAGACACGAATTTGAATTCTAAATAATTACCTTCAAACACTGTGTGCATCTCTTCTGTAAAGGCCTCCAAGGACTTCCCCTTCATTTTGTGTCGTTTGTCTTTGCCCTTGTTGTCAGGGCGCACAAACTTCCCCTGTTTCTTCCGCCCCATGTTGCACCAGCTATGGTCAGATCCCAGCCTGTGTTAAAACGAGCCAGCTGCTGTTTACATGCTTTCACATTAGCTAGCTAACCACACCACCATCATATCTAACAATAAACACAATGATTCGTATTAAAACCGAATGTATATCCTTTCCTAACTCACAGGCACTGTCACCACACAAGTCGCCTTCGACTTCAGTGAGGCTAAACTCTCATTAATAACGTTTTAGATCCACTTCAGTTGTTTATGCTCGTATCGTGGAGAGCACGTCGTAGCGCAAGGAGCTCACTGCGCATGCTCAGATGTCCCATGTGACCCGCCACGTGACGAGCGACCAGCAAAGCAGGAAATGCAGTGAGAAAACAATCCGATGTGACATTTTAAACATTCACAAACCAACCATGCACTGTTTGTGTAACGGAATATACAGTTTAATAAAGATATGGACGGTGTGTCTGTCTCTTTTCGGTAAGTACTTTAGTATACTTAATATAGTATTGAATATATTTGGTTTTACTCTTGTAAAACGGATGTGCCAGACGCTGCTGCTGCTGTGCTGCTGTGCTGCTGTGTTTATTAACCTGAGTTTTCACACAGTAAACCATGTGTCCGCCGGTAAAATGAAGATAGTCGAGGAGCCAAACACATTTGGGTTCGTCAAGCAGAATATATCTTTATATTGTCTTGTTGACTTCACTCTGTCTGACTGAGCTTCTTCTGTGTGCAGCTTGAACAATCATTTTCTGGCCCAGGGAAGCAGACTTCAACCCAAAGTGACTCCATCTCCAGTGTCTGGTAATTCAGTGGGACTCAGATTAAACCCTGCATTTTAATTTAATCACCGACTCAAAACACATTAATGTTTTATCCTCTAGGCCCAGAGCATTTTCACCGGCTTGCCGGAAAGTGCTTCAGTCTCACTGAGTCGACGTGAGTATGTTACAAATCATCATGTTTTTCACAGACCTTCTCCTACTTAATATTTTGGAGGATGATTGCTGGACTGTTGCAATAAACTGGACTGTCTGGCTCACTGTACAGGTACAAATATGAATTCTGCCCATTTCACAACGTCACCCAGCACGAGCAGACCTTCAGGTGGAATGCTTACAGTGGGATACTGGGGTAAGATGCTGTTACTGTAAGAGATGTTCCGATACCATTTTTCCCTTCCTGATATCGATTCCTGGACTGAGTGTATTTAGAAATGTAATATACATAATTATGTATGACATATTTTAAGAACTGTATGCTACTAACCCTATTTGAAAGGGGTGATTACTATCATTGCTGTATGGTCTGGCTTAGGTTAACCACTTTAATAAACAGGTTAATACAGCAAACTGCTTTTTTGGAGCGGTGACGATAAGATTATTTTTTGGAAAAGAAAATGTCAGTTTTCTCTGAGTGAAACGATTATACTCTTAAGGCGTGGTATCAGATCATTGCGTAGATTTCAGTACTCATAGATTATCAGAACATCTGTAGTTACCTTGCCCTTCCCTAGAGGGACCTCTTATTGCAGATATCAGGATGTGAATAATCGGCAGTGTGCAGTGGGTTTGTTGTAAGAGCATCATATGTTGTGTTCCTCACAGGATCTGGCATGAGTGGGAAATGGCAAACAACACTTTCACAGGGATGTGGATGAGAGACGGGGACACTTGTGGAACCAGAAACAGAGAAACAAAGGTTAGCGTGGTTTGGTTTTAAAAAATGGAAGCATATTCTGTTCATCCTTTAACAGGATTTAGGAGCTCATCTTTCAGTGTCTGTGTTTCTTCTAGAATACAAGACTAATAAAGTAACAGTTGTGGAGATAATGACTGAAATTGGTTAATATGAACCTAAAAGTCTACACACATAATTTTCACACACCTCAACATACCAGACCAACAACACATCAACTCAAAGTCATGATAAAATCAACAGTATGATTTGTGTAACACTGTCTTTGCCATTGTTTTGTAGGTGATTTTTGTCTGCAGTGCAAATAGCAAGCTTGCTCAAGTTTCAGAGCCGAGTACTTGTGTTTACTTGCTGACCTTTGAGACACCACTTGTTTGCCATCCACATTCTCTTTTAGGTAAGAATCTAGAACAATCTTTCACACACAAGTCATTAGTAAATAAGTGATACTGGTGATTTTTTTTCATCATTCTGTATGCTTTTTTTAAAAGTGTATCCAACACTGACCGAGAAACTGCAGGGGGAGTGGGATGAAACTGAGCAGGCTCGGTACGAAGGTCTTATTACTGAGCAGGTACGGAGCAGTTTGGCTGAGAAGTGACACGTGATTGGTTTGATCCTTGTCACTGACAGTTTAGGTCACATGCAAGATTTTGATATAGATGCATACTCATCTAGAGCTGAATGGTTAGGGTGCATCTCCCCAACTCTCTCACCCTGTTTCCTCACTCACCTTCACTGTATCAATCCAATATAAAGGCTAAATGCCATTAGATTATACTTTAAAATACAGAATGAGTTAAACAGACACAAATTGTTCATGTTTAGTTTGAAATTAAAATTATACACAGATTTTTCAATATCTGAAATATCTGCTTCTTTTAAGGTACTTGTTTACCTTTTTTATTCCAGTTTGAGTAATCTATATAACAGACTTGTGCATAATTGCAATGTGTATGTTTGCTGCAGGGTTATAACAATCTTTTGAGGGACATTTTTGAAGATGCTGGTCTCCTGAAGAGCCACAAAGTGAAGGTCAAGCTGCCAGAGGCTGCAGACCATTCAGAAACACACAACTCCTTCCAGAAATGCACTGAGGTATGTGCATTTATACAGAGATTTACACACTCTTCTAAATGATAGCCTACAGAAAAGTCATATTACAAAACTGCTTTGTATACATCAAGAGGTTGTTGATGTTCTCTTAATATATTTATGTTCAGGACTTTGAAAAACAGAGAGAAGAGATTGAGAGACTGCGCGCTCTCCTCACTCAACACAACATTCCCTTTGATACAAAGCCAAGTAAGTGGTCTCCACCAACAATCTTCACTGATTTACATTTACACACCCTATATGTACACAGTCCCATGTGTAATATTTACTATCTTCATCTATTACAGATGAAGCAAAAGGTACAGTGAGTGTGACAGTTAAGGATCAACGCCTAAGAGGAGACAACGGCCCCATCGATCTGCAGTGAAATCAGCACCTGGAGCAGTTCATGGCTCCGTGGCATTTACAAGCACCCAGCTGGATTTTATTGAGCAACAGAGACTATGGCTATTGCTGTCACTGGTGACGGCACTAAAGGTTTATTTAAATAAGTGAAACTGTGAAAAGAAACTAACTCATGTACAGACTACAAACTTTTTTACACTCTTGCAGAACTCAAATTCTTTAAATAAAAATGGTTTTAAAAATATAACAGTTTAGCAACTTTGCAGTTTAAACAAGGGAAGACTGAGTCCCTCAAAACTAATTCAGGTGAAAAAATATATTCAGATTATATTCAAGTGTAAGTCTTCTCACCCCTGTCCATTACTTGTTTGTCAGCAAGATAACACAAAATCAAGTAAACAGATTTCCACAAACTTGGTGGAAGGGTGTGATATCATTTTTGTGTGGATCCTGATAAGTGGATATTTTTAATATCTTTAACATTGTAAGACTGGGTGTTTTAGAACATTTCTACTATTTTCCTGATCTCTGAGTTTGTGTTTATTTCGGTGCAGCTTGATTGAGTTTGTCATTGAGGTCCAGTCATCATCCTTTACCTTCGTACAAAGATTTGTTATGGTGACAAGTTTGCGATCTGAATAAATAGTCAAATAAATACAAATAATACACCTTCTCTATGTTTTGGACAGAGATGAGATGTAGTTGACACAATCAGACTTGTTATATAAATACAATGTAAAATTAAATTCTAATCAAAGCCAGATGTGTAAGATTTAATTTGAGAAAAGGTTTTACATTATTGGCAAAAATAAGCAGATAATTACAAACCTCACAGGCACAAACCTTGAACGTGAACTACCAGAACAGATTTTTAGTTACAGATTTGTAAAAACATAACATGCTCATCATGCTTATACCTAGAGTGTGTAAGAAGTTCCTCTCATCAGTGGCTCCACAGACTGTGAGCCTCAACATGCACAAACATGTCTTGACTACAAACATTCCTGAGACGATAACTCCAGAGTTTTCTCAGCTTATTGTTTCATCCACTGTGGTTGACACCTGTATGTACTCTTCAAACTGGACATTATCTTCTGGATTCTTAACATCTGGGGTAGAAACAACAAACTTCTGCCCCCCAGGGTATCATTGTACCCTAAGTACTTAACTGAACATATGGGATTTCTTATTTTAAAATATAAGCGTTTCATGTGATTAAATCAAAACTGTGCCCTTAAGGTCAATTACAAAATACTACATATAAAGCAACAGTCCAAGG